AATGGCCATGCCATTTCATAATCATACCAGCAGAGTATTAGAGTTCTGATATAATTGGAGTTTTGTATATTTCCAGAAAACTTTTAACAGGCTTTGAATTCAGGAAAGCTGTTTTTAGTTTCTGCTATAAGTTATTTAAGTATGCCGTGATGTACTGAGAAAAAAAATTAGAGTTTAAAGCAATTACCCAGTATTACACCATCCAGAGGTGTTATTTCTAGAATTTATGTGTGTATGTATATACATACTTATAATTTGAAAAAAATCCATTTTTAACCGCATGGACATTTTTCTAGGTCAGTATCAGCATTGTCTTATGAATTTGTGTCATTACACTACCTACAGACATCCGGGAAAAGACATCATGAGTGTCAGATGCTTTTGACTTCTTGGTGTACACAGGGCTCAGACCAGGGAGGACCCTGCAGCCCTCAGACTAGGGGCTTCTAGCTTAGCCTTTAGTTTTCTTACCTAAAAAGCTAAATTACTGTTAATTTTGGTTAAGACACAATAATTTTTCCAATTAATTTAAAACATTTTTTATTTTTAAAAAGCACTCACTGAAAATGACCGAGACAGCCAGTCACCACTGAAGAATCCTCTCTTGTCGACATCAAGACCCCTGGTTTTTGGCAAGTCCAATGGTATGTACCTCTTTTCATTACCTTCTGATTGGGACAGCTATTCCTAGAAGCAGAGCGTCTCTTCCTCTCCCTCCTAGGAGCTAATACTGAGACCAAATACTGAGACCACTGCTTCAGAGGCCAAAACCTTCCAAGGTGCAGTGTATCGGGTGACTGCCCTCTATCCCCCCATGTTTATTCCTTTAATATTGCAGGGGTTATCCTGTAACAAGAGGCCACTCAGCTGTCATAATCTATTTGTGGACACTTTTTGTACGGACCATCTGATTGATCTCTGCTTTTCAGTTTGTATGTGGGATTTGCTTAGTGGAGTCCCTCATCCCCTCACCAGTCCTTTCCCTTTTCCTTTTGTTTTCATGGAATTTACTTCAGTTCAGTTCAGTCGTGTCCACCTCTTTGCAACCCCGTGGACTGCAGCACGCCAGACCTCCCTGTCCATCACCAACTCCCAGAGCTTACTCAAACTCATGTACATTGTGTTGGTGATGCTATCCAACCATCTCAACCTTTCGTTCCCTTCTCCTCCCACCTTCAATCTTTCCCAGCATTAGGGTCTTTTCCAGTGAGTCGGTTCTTCGCATCAGGTGGCCAGAGTATTGGAGTTTCAGCTTCAGCATCAGTCCTTCCAATGAATATTCAGGACTGATTTCCTTTAGGATTGACTGGTTGGATCTCCTTGCTGTCCAAGGGACTCTCAAGAGTCTTCTCCAACACCACAGTTCAAAAGCATCAATTCTTCAGTGCTCAGCTTTCTTTCGAGTCCAACTCTCACATCCATACATGACTACTGGAAAAGCCATATCTTTGATTAGACAGACCTTTGTTGGCAAAGTAATGTCTCTGCTTTTTAATATGTTGTCTAGGTTGGTCATAGCTTTTCTTCCAAGGAGCAAGTTTTAATTTCATGGCTGCAGTCACCATCCACAGTGATTTTGGAGCCCAAGAAAATAGTCTCTCACCGTTTCCCAGTCTATTTGCCATGAAGTGATGGGACTGGATGCCATGATCTTAATTTTGTGAATGTTGAGTTTTAAGCCAGCTTTTTCACTCCCTTTCATTTTCAAGAGGGCACTTTAGTAGTTCTTTTTTTTCTACCACTAGGGTGGTATCATCTGCATATCTGAGGTTTTTATATTTCTCCCAGCAATCTTCATTCCAGCTTGTGCTTCATCCAGCCTGGCATTTCACATGATGTATTCTGTATATAAACTAAATCAGCAGGGTGATAATACACAGCCTTGACATACTCCTTTTCCTATTTGGAACCAGTCTGTTGTTCCATGTCCAGTTCTAACTGTTGCTTCCTGACCTGCACACAGATTTCTCAGGAGGCAGATCAGGTGGTCTGATATTCCCATCTCTAAGAATTTTCCAGTTTGTTGTGATCCAGTCAAAGGCTTTGGCATGGTCAAAAAGCAAAGTTTTTCTGGAACTCTCGCATTTTTGATGATCCAGCAGATGTTGGCAATTTGATCTCTGGTTCTGCTTTTTCTAAATCCAGCTTGAACATCCAAAAGATCATGGTTCACATACAGTTGAAGCCTGGCATAAATTTTAAGCATTACTTAGCTAGCACATGAGATGGGTACAATTGTGCGATAGTCAACTGGAATTCCATCCCCTCCACTAGCTTTGTTCATAGTGATGCTTCCTAAGGCCCACTTGAGTTTGCATTCCAGGATGTCTGGCTCTAGGTGAGTGAGCATACCGTTGTGATTATCTGGGTCCTGAAGATCTTTTTTTGTACAGTTCTTCTATGTATTCTTGCCACCTTTTCTTAGTATCTTCTGCTTCTGTTCGATCCATACCATTTCTGTCCTTTATTGTGCTCATCTTTGCATGAAATGTTCCCTTGGTATCTCTTAAGTTTTTTTACTTTGACTGAAGTCTATATTCTTTCCTTTGTCTCAAGGTGATACAATTGATTATCAGAAACAGCTGAAGCAGATGATTAAAGATTTGGCCAAAGAAAAAGACAAAACTGAGAAAGAGTTGCCCAAAATGAGCCAGGTATGGACTTTATTCTGTGCAGAGAATTTACTATTTTACCAAGCGATTTCAGTGGTAAGCCTTTTACTGAAGCTGGACCCCCACTTTACCTCCTAAGCTATAATCAAAGGATCTTTAAGACATTTTAAACATTGTGACATTTAAATAGGAAATTAAATTTTGATCCATTCAGCTATTCAGATGTTCAGCACTCTTCAAAGGATGCTAGCACATATTTCATATCCTCAAATTTTCTCTATTAAACTCATTTACCAGGTTGTGATGCAGATTCATTCTGTAGAGCACTAGAAGCTATTTGGGAGACAGTGGACACAGAATTTTTCATATAAAAAGTACAGTTTCTTGAAAATAGCTAACTACATATTACAGGGTACTGATGCGGCTTTAAGTGGAAAACCTCCCTTTATTATAGGGCTTAAATCCCTCTGATACTCCTGTGAGCTCCCAGGAGTGGGATTTAGCAGTTTTCCTTTTGATCATGAAACAGTGTTGCTCCACTCTACTAAGTGGCTTTCAAACATTCATTCTACTCTCTGGATATAATCAGTTAAATCTCAGCATGTCAGTTGTACCTCAGTTATCATGGATATTTCTCTTGAACCTTAAATGCTAAATTAGTAGCTCATTTTCTGATCCTAGAGTGACCGTGAAGCTTGTAGCTAAGTCCCACCTCTGTTGTGACATAAAGATTCTCAATTTGGGCAGGAGGGTGTGTAGCCTGAGTGCGCACCAGGCACCATTGTTGAACTTGATATTTCCCCCCTCACAATTCCAGAGAGAGTTTATCCAGTTCTGTAAGACTTTGTACAGTATGTTCCACGAAGACCCGCAAGAGAATGAGCTGTACCAAGCCATCGCCACAGTAACCACGCTGCTGCTGCAGATCGGCGAGGTGGGGCAGCGAGGCAGCAGCTCTGGGAGCGGCTCCCAGGAAGGCGGGGAGGAGCTGCAGGCCTCGGCTCCTTCCCCCTCTTCTGAGCAGGACTTGGTGTTTGCTGAAGCGGACACAGGGCAGAGTCCCCAGGAGTCCCAGGCATTTCCTGAGGAGGCACAGGGGGACTGGACCGTCTCCCTTGAACATATTTTAGCCTCACTTCTGACTGAACAGTCACTAGTCAACTTTTTTGAAAAGCCACTGGACATTAAATCCAAACTTGAAAACGCCAAGCTCAATCAGTACAGCCTCAAGACTTGTGAAATGAGCCGCCAGTCACAGTCTGAGCTCAAGCTGAGCAGCCCGTAGGACAGCGATTGGCTGAGACCCATCTCCATACCAAAGCACAGACCAGGTCCCCGGGTGTGGCCCAGGAAGCCAGGTTTGTCTAGCTCCCCGTGAGTACTTTACAAGCTGGGTACACACTGTGGCTGGGGGGGGGCACTGATGCAACACCCAGCATTTGTTTAGACACTGTCAGTGCTAGAGCTAGTGTTCTGTCCTCAGCTGGAAGCTAAAAAAGTGAGAGATGTGTGATACTAACCAAGTTGAGAGAAGCCCAAGCACTCATCCTTCACTTGAACGGGGGGAAAAAATTCACTTTCAAGATTTGAGAGCCACTATCTGTGCAATTGTATTTGGCTTTTTTTGCACTAATTTTGTTTCAATGCTGGTAATTGAAACCATGTTAATGTATTTGGTTGTATTCACTTTTGTGTCCTTCCAAAAAAAACCACTGCTTTCAAATGTTGGCCTCCAAGTTTTTTTAAAAACAAAGTTTTCTAGTGACTTGGTTTGTGTCTGTATCTTATTTCAGTGTCTAAGGTTTGGACTGTGCCAGTCTGGAACTACCTGGAGACCCCCCCCCCCGCCCCCACAATGATGTTCACAGCATACACTCCAGGTAGCCTCCAACCCCACTACCATCATCAATAGGGTTTCAAAAGGGCACCTCTTTATGCCCTTTAACCCACATCAGTGATGAAACACAATCCCTCCAACACCTTGGTTTCGGGCTAAATTTAACATAACATTTGTTAGTCCTTTTAAGAAAGGTTACCTATGTGGAAATGGCAACCCACTCCAGTATTCTTGCCTGGAAAATTCCACTGACAGAGGAGCCCAGTGGGGTCGCAAGGAGTCAGACAGGACTGAACAACTGAGCACAAACCAGCAGTAAAAACACCTTGTTAGATTACCAAATAATTGAGCTAAAAATGACAAACTATCTCTTTCATTAAATCTAAGACCCTCAAAAGCTACCAATTTAGTCTCTTAAAACTCCTGGGAGAAGGGGCCCAGGCATGGCAGCTGGGAAATGCTCTAAGATACACAAGCCTACTTTACCTCCAACTAGAAAAGGAAAATCAAGATGCGAAGGCAGTTCAATAACTTTATTGGACCATCAGCAATTAGTTCTCGTCCACATTGACTGTCTGTAGATCTGCAAAAGAAGTGATAGCCGGTCACCTTCCACACCCACAGCCCCCATCCCATGCTCACACAAAAACCTTTTCTGCAAGGGCTTAGGCAGGTATTCTGAATACCCTTCCCAACCCAGATAAAGACGTGTTCTGTATCCTTTTGCATTTTCCCACACCATAACACAACTTCAAAAACGTTTACTGACTATGCCTCTTACGTACAACCCTACTGGAAGGATCCAGAGATACAAGTAAACAGTATTTATTGAACAAATGAACTCAGGTTATAATAGGGCCAAGGATTTAAAAAATGAAGTAGACCTTACTTTTGAAGGTAGTGACGGGCACGTAGGTAACCAGAGTGTAGAGCTTGTTTGGCGAGTCTTCGTCTTCATTACGTTTTCTGGACAACCGCACACGGATCCGGTATGGGACATTCCTGAAAAACAGAAAACACAGGTGTCTTGGGATGTGGAGGTGGAAACGGCACCCAATACAATACTCCAGTATTCTTGCTTGGACAATCACATGGACAGAGGGGTCCCTGGGATCTCAAGAAGTTTGAAATGACTGAGCATGCTTGGAATGTACCTGTCTCAGCTGGCAGCCCCCACTGCCACAGCAGTGACCTCAGCAGAAATGTCAGCGCCCCCTGTGTAATGCTGGCTATGGGAGCTATGTTAAATCCCAGGCAGCACTCGGCGAACACGTGCAAATGTTAAATGTTCAATGTCCCGGTCTCCCACACACAGTCCTCCTCCTGGCTCACCAACCCTCTCAGTTCATGGGACACTCCCCTCCCCATCTCAAGGGAGCCCACAAACAGCTCCTTCATTAGACACTCCCCGCCATGACAGCCCACTGCAGGGCTAAAGTTCAAGTCCCTGTTGTTGCATCCAATCCAATGTTGAAAGACCACCCAGATCAGACAGCGCCCCCACCCTACTACTTTTATCATAGCCAGCACCACTCATCTGGCTGGTCCCACTTCTACCCTGGCCCTGTAACTGTCCTTTACAGCTATAGCCACCCCCACGGTGGACACGGCCCTTCGGTCTAGAGAAAGCCAGACTCCACACTGTGACCTACAAGGTCTGTCTGCTGCCCACCCCATCCTCACTCTGTTCTCCAAGCACACACACTGTCTACTCCACTTTAACCAGCCGCTGTTCCCAGGTCACGTCTGTTCTGTGTGTGATGCGCTGACCTGACCCGCACCCTGCTGACTCCTTCAGGCCTTAGTTCACACCAGGGTAAAGGGCTTCCCCGCAGATGCTACCCTACTCCCCAAGCCACGGCTACACGATTTTCTTCTTATACCTCCACATGCATTAGCTGAGTGGAATGCTAAAATCTGTCTCACACAGACACCTAGAGTACCTGATTCCTTTGGCCCAGACGGCTTTGTTGAGCCTGGTGTCGATGCGCACGTCCGGAGTTCCCATCTCCTTCATGGCAAACTTCCGGATTTCTTTGAGTGCCCTAGGGGCACGCTTCTTGAAACCCCTGAGATTCAAAAGTGAGTGAATGAAGTGAGTACAAAATTAAATAAAACACACAGTACAGTGTGTTTTCATAAAACAAATCTCAACTAAACCTCTTAACAACGCAGGAACAATTCTTCACCACGATGTCATGCCTGCCTATTACACAATGGTAATCTATGCACAATCTACTTTCAATAGTGTAGAACAAGGACTCTGTCTATGATCCTTAAAAGATGCTAATATATACACTGGTCAACACTCTCCTGATAAAGCAAAAACCCCCTCAAGCTCTGATACCATCTGCCAGAGAGAATATATAATCAAAGAATGTTAGAATATGCTTGAACACAAAGCACAAGACACTGAGATAAACACGTCATCAGCTTTCGGCAATCATTCAATGCGAATTTACAGGTCCCTTATTAACTTGGTCTATGATAAAAGACAAAGGACTTGAAATGGACCGGTTTCCTCTCAAAAAACGAAGGCAATAGTTAGTGCTACGGATTTCTCAGCACGTGTCAGGCACTATTAACCTGTTGTTTAGATATGGATGCATAAATTCCTTGAATTTCATGCTTTCAGTTAAAGACAAAATGTGAGAAAGCTGAACTCTATTACTGGCTGAAATGGTTAAGCAGTTGGTTAAGTGAAGGCTATTCCAGTGGGGCAGAGACCCAAAGTTAAACAGATTGTGAATGTCAGAGAGAGCCATGTCAAGTACCATATCCACCCCCCCACCCCTGCTCTACCCATCAAACAAGCTCGCTTCACTTAAATATTTAACCATCCAGAAAAAAAAAGCTACAGAGAAAGGAGAGGAATAACGAAGGGGGCTGCATGTTAAAGTTAAGATGGCCACAGATATTGAAGTCAAGATCCAAAGATGAGGCGCCTGTTCAGCTACCTGTGAGAAAAAGCATTATGGGGGTGGTAAGACTAAGCTCAAACTGCTGCCCTGAATCACATACTTGCCAGCTATGATTAAGTAAGTGGGCAACCCGTGTAGAATCAGAACAGAACTCTGGCCTCTCAAGATGGCAACATGGGAAGCCAGTGGAGGGCCTGGGAGCAGTCCAGGTGTTTGGGGTGGAGGAGGGAACCAGGAGCCCATCAAGGAAACTCCTTGATGGTGGGACCAGTGTAGTCAGGTTGAGGAAGGCAGACCCAAGAGGATGTGCTCACTTGCCAACAAAAAGGGAAGGCTGCAGGGAAACTGGAAAGTGTGTGTGTGGGCAGCGTGGACACCAAGAGTTTGGTTCAGGGTTATGTAAAATTTGAAATGCCTATTAAAAAACACATGTATACATCTCAGCAGCAGCTGGAAACATGAGGCCCTAAAACTAGCTGCTATTACTAAGCATAGTTGGAGAAGGGCCGAGTCCTGGACTCGAGGCTGGGACGGGAGGAGAAACACAGATCAAGGAGGAGCAGCTGCAGAGCCAAGAAAACACAAGAACGTGGGATCCTAGGGAGTAAAACGAAGAATGAACAAAGAACTGCCAATTGCTGCCCATCAAGAACTAAGAACGACCCATTCATTTATCACTGTGAAGGTCTTCACTTAGGGCTTTTGTAACAAAAATGCCTGAAAAACGCATCCACCTGCGCTGGCTCACAGCCACTCTATTCTAAGATCTGGTTAACTGTGCGCCTGTAAAACATCAGCCTATGACTTACTCTTCACCCTTTCCTCCGGATGCTTGCCTACCTCCTCCTCCTAAGCTAGGTGGGTAGGATCTTTTGGTTCCCCGTTGAACCCGCAGAGCCCAAGATAGACTTATGTGCTCCCCACATGAATCCACCAGGCCCCAAACTGAAAGACTCCACCAACACAATACTCCCTGGCTCACGCATGGTCAACACCCGGCCCGAAGTGCCAGGCCCAGCGGGGTAGCTGCCACATGTAGGTCCCTCACAAAGTCAGCTGTCCAGATATAGGAGACCGACCAAGCCAGTCAAGAAATTTTTGCAGGGCAATGTTTGCTGTTAAAAGAACTCCAAACAGCAGCATTCAAGAAAAGATGCAGTCTCCAGTATCACTGGTCAACACCATGCGCAAAAAAGAGAAGAAATGCACTACAACCAAGCCCCCAGAGACCAACACCAAGAACCGGGACATTGGAAATCACCCCCAATATTCCTGTGTATCGCCAATCCATAACCTCCAGGTGTCCTCCCAGCAAATAACTCCACCGACACATCCTTTCGTGGTCTCTACAACGGTTTCACTCCCAGCATTACGACGTTCCCAGTTTCAGTACCCATCTGTGTGGGTCAGGGAACTAAAGAAACTGTATCACAGCGTTCGTGTTCTTGGCAGGTCCGGCTTCAATTAACTAGTGAACTTGACTACAAAGACCCAGACACATCAGCGTCCACTCCCGCACAACCTTCAGGGCTGCTAGGGTTTTATTCAACGACAAAGCAACGAGTGGAATGGTTTAATCACTACCGCATCTCCCCAAACTGCCTCTCCCAGAAACCTTGCTGTTCTATGCCCCGTTTCTAGGTATCAACCTCTGAGGCATTAACTTTTAAACCCTATAAAACTTAAACAGGGTCCATGGAAATACAGACTTGAGCTTTCGCAGGATTAAAGCCTAATTTCTGGCCCACCCAGCCTTCAGGCTAGACAGACTCAGAGACCACCAGACCGTGATTTCGGGAGCCCCCAAGAGCAGGGCCAGCTGCAGGCCGCAGGCGTACTCACACTCCATGGATGCGCTTGTGAATGTTGATGGTGTATTCTCTTGTCACCACCTCGTTGATGGCGGACCGGCCCTTCTTCTTCTCGCCGCCCTTCTTTGCGGGAGCCATCTAAACAAACCCAGGCGACAAAGCAGCTCAGGGCAAGTGAGTCAAACCTAAGTCAAGGCCTCCCTCCCGGCCCGGCCTCACGCAGCCGCCCTCGGTACGGTTTCCGGGGACAGAAAGTCCGGCCAGGTCCCTGAAGCCCCAGGTATGGGTAGAGACAAGCCCGCCAGCCCGCGCGGCCCACGTGTCCGGTGCCCCCGCCCCGGAAACCCCTGCAGCTCGGGTTTCCCCAAGCCTGGCTTCTCTCCCTCTGAGACTCCAGGAGCCCTTAAATGCAGCGTAGATTCCCGTGCGCCGGGGACGCGGGGTCCCAAGTCAGTTCAGGACAGAGCCTGCAGTCCTGGTCAGCACAATACAGGTAGAGGATGGCGTCGGATTACTGCAGACGAGACTCAGCAGCCATACTCACCCTGCAGGGCCGTGGTTGGAAAGGAAGAGCGAGAGGGATTGTGGGAGAAGGAAAGTAGCCTCACAAGTACAACTTCCGGGTTACCTGGAGGTGGGGAAAGGAAGAGGCGCTGCTGTGACGCAAGCAGCGCGCGCCGGGGCGGGGAAAAGGCGTGAAGGCCTCTGGGGCGGGGCCTCGGGAGTCGCGCTCTCCTTCGCAGCATTCTGTCGCTGGTCCCCTCCTCCTGCGCGGGAGCGAGGCAGGGAGGGGTTTGCGGTTTCGCGTTTAAGTCTTCAGAGAAAACGGGATCCTGGTCCCCAGGTGGAGGCGGGCAGGGTAGGGAGAGGAGATGCTCTTCTGTTTTCCCACTCGCTCAGTGATTCGGCCAGCATTGCCTGAACTTGTGTGCCTGGTGGGCAGCCCGGAGATGACCTACGCGGCTGCCGACCTGGAGGGAGCCGGGAGCCCTTTCCAGCGGCAGCGATCAGCTAGCTGCAGAGGTGCAGAGGGGCCTAGGCTAGGGGCGGCGAGGGAAGAGAAGCAGAGGTTTGCACAAGAAGCGTTTCGAAGTTAAAAGCGCCAGTTTGTAACTGACTATATGAAATGTCAGTTTAGGAGACAGTAGTTGATTAAATCACCTTAGAAAGAGTAAAATACTATGTGCAGTCTATTATATTGGATAAATCTATGATTTCGTGACCTTAAATATGTTTTTAGCTCTTTCACAACAAAATGACCCAATAACAGCAATGGAAGCAGCGCTTTTATCCAACACCTGGTGTAAAATAGGTACCTTGAAAATGAAAAGGGAGGAACCTGAAGCCAGGAGGTTGACAGACTTCATGAGTTGACAGACTTCATGGCCAAGTCCGGTGTCCCCATGCCAAACCCACGGGTTCAGAACTCTGGACCTTCCGTCTGCTGATCAGAAACTGCATTCTCTTTTGGAGGGGCAAGGGCATGGTAAAATCTTTCAACCTAGGAAGGATGTAGAAATTTTGAGGGTTGAGGTACTGAAACCCTAGAATAGCATGTTAAAACTGGAGCACTTATATGTATGGCTGAGTCCCTTTGCTGTCTGCCTGAAACTATCACAATACTTTTAATCGGCTCTATTCCAATATAAAATTAAGAGTTTTAAAAAAAGGAAATAAAAATAATGAGAATTATAAAGAATTCTCCAATTAGGAAAGAAAAAAACAAAAACTGTAGCACTGAGGTGTTAGGATAAGCCTGGAGAAAAACACAAGTTAGCTCTGTGATAGTCATATTTTGCAACTAGTTTTGATGTAAAGATACTCAGTTTTGTTGTATTTTGTGGGTCCTTGTACAACTTTTAAGAAATCTGTATCAGACAACACTTTAGTAACAAGTGTTAATATCTAATCTCTTTTCATCACTGGGTAGATTTTTTTTGGTAAATTCCTAAATATTGATTTATTTGTTGTTTAAGTAGCATATGATTAATAAGGGAAATGCTACAGTGAAAGTATTAGAGCCCGCCAGGCTCCTCTGTTCATGGGATTCTCCCGGCAAGAATACTGAGATGGGTAGCCATTCCCTTCTCCAAGGCATCTGACAGGCAGATTCTTTACAGTCTGAGCCACCAGGAAAGCCCCATAAATTAGTAAATTGGACATTAAATGACGTACAGTTAGTGGTGACTGTATCTTTCCATGTCCCAAATCCCCTCTGACAGAAATGGACTCACCAGCATGGAGGATACAGTTTTTCAGTTGGTCTGGATGGGTGGGGTCATGGCCACACTGAAAGAGATGGGGACATTGGGAGCGGCAGGTGGTTTTCAAGGGTTAAACTACATTGAATTCAGGAACTTTTAAGGGTGTATAAAGTGGTTACCCAAGTTGGAGTATATATTTTAAGGCACGTATTATTTTACTGAATGCGCTGATGGGTTACCCTGCTTCTCCCATAGCTAGACATTGGCTGGACAGACAAAAATCCTAAAGAAAAAAGAAAAACAAAACAAATAAAAAATCCTAAAGAAGGTTTTCCTTTTTTTTTTCTAATGAGTTTTTTCCCCTGGGAAAATAAAGGTGCTTCACAGTTACCATAAGGCTGTGTGTTTCAGCCATTCAGTCAACCATGTCATGCTTACAGAAGTATGCTGTTGTTTGTACTACTGCACATAGGCATTGTATGAAGTTCATAAGTGTGTATCCAAAAAGCCACACATGCCATTACTCTGGAAGACCCAAATTAGTTGTTTGTCTTGGTTACTAATGGCTGACTTTAAAACCTCCAGGCTTCACATAAAGTGAAGAGAGAAACTTAAGCAATTTTTTACCAAACACCCATGTTTTTCCAGCCAGAGTCCAACATATCATGGCTTAGCATGATCTCACAGTTGACCAGTTCACCTTATCGCCAGTATAAACAACCAAAAAAGTAATTTAATGGGCATTAGTTGCCATTAGAGACAAGATATTACATTTTAGTGGATGTAGTTTAAAATATTCTAAAACTCGGTGTATTTCAGAATTCATATTTCAGTCACTTCTCATGAGCCAAGATTTTATAGTTTCTAAATAGAAAGGTCATGACAAGTTTGCAAAACAGTCTTTTAATCAGCACAATTAAATGAATCAGAAGTTTAAGAATTAAACTTCCCCTGACGTTATATGGGTTTAAAGAAATTTACTCAACAAGAGTTTTCTGAGTTTACCCAGACTGTGAACATGTGTAAAGTTTAAGCAATACTAAATTAACTCAGCAGCATGACATAGTCCACCCTCTTCTAATGGCTTCCGGCTGGAAAATCCTACCACAAATATGCTGTTTCCATTAAAAACTTGTTCTACTTAGAAATGCAGTTCTGACAGCCAATTAAAATACAAATTCTTTTACAGAAAGATCAGATCTGGAAACCTTTGAATTTACCAAACAGTTAAATTACAAAACAGGTAATCTAGTGTTACATAGAATTTTTGTTTTAAAAAGAGGGTCCATTTCGGATTCCTTGAAAGAGTAAATGATCCTAGGATATGCAAAATATTTAGACTTACCTTTCCTTCAGGTAATTCATATCACAATTGTGTGAATAATTAAAACTCCTTTTGATGTATTTGCTTGGCAGCCTCTTAGGCCATTGAAAACTGATCCTGGCCAGAGAATGGAGAGGAGTTTTCTCTCTTTTACAGGGAAGCAGGTGGAAACATGGAGCTCCAGTGATGGAACAAGGAGAGGAACTTGGTTCTCTTGGGCCAGCGCTCTGCTGAGCATTGCCATCTCAGTGATTCTGTCTCAGCGTGCCAGGGCTCCCTCACGCCAGCGTGCTGAAGCCTCATGGGAAAGGGGGTGCCGTCTGCTGTATCTCCCCTACCCACATGATGTGTGCACAGGTCTCCCACACAGACACACAAACCCTGGGCTCATCACTGATACGTGAGAGCTGGCAAGCAAGAGGCCATGGAAGCCCAGCCCAGGTGAGCTTAATTACGGGCTGTACTGCTTCTGTCGATAATGGCAAAGCCATCTCTATGGATTACCGACGTCTCTTAAGTTAGAGATGTTTCCAGGAACTTTTTCTGGTTTTGTCAGTTTGTTCTGCTATCACTTCTAAAAGAACCATTGATTTCTTCTGGCACAATCTTTAAAATAAAGATCAGGATCCCAACAGGCTGAGATGCATGTGAGCTCAAAAACCTAAGACCATTACCCAGATTACTGGTTGCTTGCTCCCACCTTTTCTGCATTTTTGATTATCCTTAGAAACGTGTTGAAATTAAAAAAAAAAAAGTTTACTGACGAGAGGTATGAATGCATCAAAAACAAGGTACAGAAACTGCCTCAAAAGGAAATTGTACAAATTTGTTAATTTATTACAAAATGTCCACTCACAGAAATACACAAGAAAACTTTTATCCTTTTATATTTTGGGCAAGGACTGGTGTCTCAGATACAAAATAATTTACACAGAATCCATACAATTTTATTTTATATAGAAATAGGTCCTTATTACAACGGCTGTACAATTCACTACACTTCGTCTTATAATTACATAAAATCTTCTCTTTAGAAACATCTCAACAAAACATACAAAAAAAGCAAAGTGCATTTTTGAAAAGGAAAATCCACTCCTGGGTCTCGGTCAGGAAAGATATGTAGAAAGCTGCGGCATCCTCACTCTGAGGGCCAGCATGTGGGGGAGGGGGGTTTCCTGGGGTCCTGCCTGGCCTGTGAGACCTTCCCCTTCACAGTCCTTGAGTCCTGTCAGAATCCCAGAACGTCACCTGCAGGATTGTACTTTGCGTTGAGTCCACCTTTGTAGTTGAAATTGCTGGAAGTCAACAGGAAACAGTCCAGTGTTACATTCAGGAGAAGGAAAAAAAAAGCCAATCACCAGAACGGTGTGAGGAGAAGAATCTCATTCCATTAGGGTTTTGGCTGGGGGGTGGGAGGTGGGGGGCTGCAGTCTGGTTAATAATGTCCAGCTTTGCTATCTGATTGGTGGGCTGTTTTTGTTACTGGGGTCTCCGTGTGAAATCAGGAGACCTGATTTAAAAAAAAAAAAAAAGGAAAGTGCCTAAGTTATCTCCTTGTGCAGCTGTGCAAATTAAGACAGAAACGATCATCTAAAAATAATGAGAAAAAAAATCATCTCTTCTCTCCTTCCAAGACATCGCTGACCGGGTGCTTCTCCGAGGAAAGAGGGTCAGGAGAGTGAAGGCCAATGAGCACGTGCGCACGTGGCGCAGAGACTGGTCCACGCTGGGGGGAGGGGCGATCCAGCAGAGATGCTCCGTCTCTAAGCTGAACCGCGTGATGCACTGATGCGCTCGGCTGGGGACTGCGGTCGGTCTGTCCAGGTATGGTTGTAGAGTGTGGCTGTGAAGCACAGGAAAAAGGGAAACAGGGCCAGCTTCCCTGCTCACTCATGTCCATGCTGGCCGCCGCCCTTGGACATGGTCACCACCCAGGAGCTCTGAAATGGATGCGGCGTGCATGGAAGTTGGGGTGTCCTTTAAACTCTTCTCCCCAACTCCCTGGCCACCCGCCCCCTCGTCTGTCCATTGGTTAAAGCTGATGTGACCCAACCGAGGTGCCCGGCCACTACCGGGGCGGCTGCTGGAGGCCTGAGGACTCAGACAGGCTGCTGACCCTTCGGGCTGGGCGCGCGGGCCCCGGCGTTGGGTAGCCCAGGGTCCCTGGCTGTTGCGAGTAGGTGGAGAGAAGGAGGGAGTCCTGTTGCTCACTGTGCAGAGAGGTTGGCACCTGCACCTGGAAAGAAAGGAACCAGCTCCAGGGAAGGTTCTGGGATTCAGGGACTCCTTCCCTAAATGGCTGAGGTGGTGATGTAATCCTCCTCAGATTAACCCACTCCAGTACTCTTGCCTGGAAAATCCCATGGAGGTAGCAGCCTGGTGGGCTGCAGTCTGTGGGGTCGCCAAGAGTCGACACGACTGAGCGACTTCACTTTCATTTTTCACTTTCATGCATTGGAGAAGGAAATGGCAACCCACTCCTGTGTTCTTGCCTGGAGAATCCCAGGGACGGGGGAGCCTGGTGGGCTGCCGTCTATGGGGTCGCACAGAATCAGACACGACTGAAGTGACTTAGCAATAGCAGCTCCCCCGCCTGGGGACCTGGGGGAAAGGAAGCCCAGCTCTCAGGCCAGCACTAGGGGTTCCTCCTGACCCAGTGGCCAGGGGCCTAGGCTGCAGGAAATAGTTTCTTGAACACATGCACAGGAGCCCCCATGTAGCCTGTGTGGTATTGGATGCTAGAACCTGACACCACATGTACATCATTGCTGGCACAGCATCCAAAAAGGCCTGCAGTCCACATACTTTTCACTTGGTTCCTATTTCCAGAATCACTTCCAAATACTCCCATCTGCCAGGAAGCATCCTAATTTGAAGCTCAGAAACTCAATGGGTTTTCCTGGTGCCTCAGCTGGTAAAGAGTCCACCTGCAGTGCAGGAGACCTGGATTGGGAAGATCCCCTGGAGAAGGGCATAGTAACCCAGTCCAGCATCCTCAAAGCCTAGAAAATCCCATGGACAGAGGAGCCTGGGGTTGGGGCTACAGTCCACAGAGCCTCAAAGAGTCAGACACGACTGAACAACTGACACACTTCAGCTGGTCAAACACTAACTCTGGAATCTTCAGTCTCACCTCGCACTATTCCCAGCCATGAAATCTCCCCTCCAAGGAACCCAGTCCACTGTTTCCAAAGCTGCGCAAGACACATCTGCTGCTCTGCCTCAGCTCAGGCTGCCTCTGTTGTTGAAACGTTGTCCCCCTGACATCTCACACTCAGCCATCTACACTTGGAGTGTTTTGGTCCCCACTCCTCGGCCTTTTTTGACCTCGGCCCCCCAGCCCCACTGCTCCATTGGTGCTGACCCAGACCTGGCAGCCCTCTGTGATGCCCCCTGTCCCCCTGTGCTCAAGGCCCCTAAGTGCTCCTTGCATTCTTAGCCCTGCATCTGGGTGGAACAGGCACCTGCAAGCACGCTGGTGGCTCCCGATGAAGGAACAGATGGGCAGCCTCCAGCTCTCCCTCTGACTTCTCCCTGCTTCTCCCCTCATCAATTCCCGTCCCAGATCACTCCAGGGTCCTGCAAGCTGACCAGGGAGCAAAGCTGAGGTTCAGCGTTAACTCCCACTAAGACGTGGTGTCAGGGAGATCTGAAAACTATGCCATAGCTGGTTTAGCTACTTTGAAATTCAATTACAATCTAGAACTCGAGGAGGACTCTGCATCTTGGGCACCCCACACATTCACCTATTGCTTAAAGGATGCCCAAGTGGGGCAGGCGGGGGCGGGGGAGCAAAACCTACACTGTGCCTTGTGGTAGGGGCTTGAGACTGTGGAGGAGGCCCCATTGGACAGGGTCAGCTGGGACAGGAAGGGGTACATGGGCATGTGTGGGAGGGAAGACCAGACCCTGAGCAGATACTTCTGTCCCATCTGAACCCCCAGCCACTGGCTCACACCCCTTCCTTCCAGTGCATGTGGCACTTGCTTAAAGTAAGAAGTGACCACAAGATTACATATATACAATGGAATATTACTCAGCCATTAAAAAGAATGAAATAATGCCATTTGCAGCAACATGGATGGGCCTAGAGAGTATCATACTGAGTGAAGTAAGTCAGAGAAGGAGAAATATTGTATGACATCTGTTATATGTGGAATCTAAAAAGAAATTATATAAATTAACTTATTTACAAAATAGAAACAGACTCACAGACGTAAAAGAGAAGGAACTTATGGTCCCCAGGGGGGATGAAGGGAGAGAAGGGATAGTTAGGGAGTTAAGGATGGACATGTACACATGCTGCATTTAAAATGGATATCCAACAAGGTCCTACTGTACAGCACAGGGAACTCTGCTCATTGTTAAGTGGCAGCCTGGAGGGGGTAGGAGTTGGGGAAGAATGGATATATGTATACGTATGGCTGAATCCCTTTGCGGCCCACCTGAAACTATCACAACATTGTTAATCAGCTATACTCCAACGTAAAATAAAACGTTAAAAAAAAAAGAAGTGGTCACAAAGAAATATGCCCCACATTTTCCTGGAAAGCCTCAAATTCATGCAATGTTATCTCATTCATTTAAAGGACGTTTGATGAATCTTTAAATTTGATAAAATTTTCCACTTGTATGAGATACTGCATATAAACATACCAACAAGTCCAACAAACATGGCAATCAGTGTCTGATTTTTGCTCTAAGAAAGTGTAGACACCATAATAAAAATTACTTTTTAAAAATGGACCTTCCTAGCGCATAACCACAAGAGGCAAAATAGCTGCTTCTGTTTCTCACATGTATATACATAGACTTTATCAACTTGGAGCATGATAAACTTTAGAAATGATAAATTTCAAATATGAATCTGTCTGAGGCTTATTTTGATACTGACGCCTAGAACCCCGTTGAAAGCCTGGAACAGAAGGAAGGGCCCATGAGGCCTGGGCTGGGGGCTTGGCCCTGCCTCCCCCTCCCCAGGCGTGGCCCAGCCCCACCTGAAGAAAGTGCGGAGGCTGTGGCTGGGCCTGTGCAGGCTTCAGGGGTGACGGCTGGGAGGTGGGGAAGCTGGGGTGCAGCCCCATCAGCAGGACAGGGGTGGAGGCGCCGCTGGTGGTATGCACATCCGGGTTCTGAAACACGGCCTGGCTCTGCGGATACCTGTTTGGTGACACACAGAAGAAAGACCTTTACAAAAACTATCGCCATGACATCAAGGACATGGATGACAAGAGGAAAAACAGATGGACTTCATCACAGCTAAAACTTTGTGAGCATCACTCTATCCATGCAGTGAAAACACTGCCAGAAACAAAAAAAAAGCTGCCAGAAAACCTTTGCAAGTCCTATATCTAATAAGAGGTCGATATCCAGCTGTATGTAAATACAGTTTCTACAACTCACCACCACCACAAATGCAAATAACCTGGTTAAAAAATGGGCAAAAGGCTTGAGTAGACATCCTGGAAATAAAGGTACAAATGGCTAATAAGCACGTGAAAAGAGTCATTAGGGAAATGCAAATCAAAACCAAATGAGGACTTCCCTGATGGCACAGTGGATAAGAATCTGCTTGCCAATGCGGGAAACAAACGATCGGTCCCTGGTCGTACCACATGCCACGGGGCAAACTAATCCCCACAAATGTTACCATGGCAAAACTGGGGGAGTCAACAGTGTTACCCAGTCAACAGCATGCTGTTGGCATCATTGTAAACAAAGTTAAGGGCAAGATTCTTGCCAAGAGAATTAATGTGTGTACTGAGCATATTAAGCACTCTAAGAGCCGAGATAGGTTCCTGAAACGTGTGAAGGAAAATGATCAGAAAAAGGAGGAAGCCAAAGAGAAAGGAACTTGGGTTCAGTTGAAGTGCCAGCCCTGCCCATCAACAGAAAATTGAACTAAAGATTTACTGAGCATGGCCTTGCCCATCAGAGCAAGACCCTGATTCCCCCACAGCCAGTCCCTTCCATCAGGAAGCTTCAACAAGCCTCTTAGTCTCATCCATCAGAGGGTAGACAGAATGAAAGCCACAATCACAGAAAACTAACCAAACTGATCACATGGATCACAGCCTTGTCTAACTCAAAGAAACTATGAGCCATGCCATGTAGGTCCACCCAAGACAGACGGGTCATGGTGGAGAGTTCTGACAAAAAGTGGTCCACTGGAGAAGGGAATGGCAAACCCCTTCAGAACTCTTGCCTTGAGAAACCCATGAATCCAGGATGAAAAGGCAAAAAGATGTGACACTGAAAGGTGAACTCTCCAGGTTGGTAGATGCCCAATATGCTACTGGAGAAGAGTAGAGAAATAACTCCAGAAAGAATGAAGAGACGAAGCAAAAGCAAAAACAACGCCCCATTATGGATATGACTGGTGATGGAAGTAAAGTCTGGTGCTGTAAAGAATAATATTGCATAGGAACCTGGAATGTTAGGTCCATGAATCAGGGCAAATTGGAAGTGGTCAAACAGGCGATGGCAAGAGTGAACATCAAAATTTTAGGAATCAGTGAACGAAAATAGAATGAGCGAATTTAATTCAGATGACCATTATATCTACTACTGTGGGCAAGAATCCCTTAGAAGAAATGGAGTAGCCCTCATAGTCAACAAGAGAGTCTGAAATGCAGTACTTGGGTATAATCTCAAAAATGACAGAATAATTTCTGTTTGTTTCCAAGGCAAACCATTCAGTATCACAATAATCCAAGCCTATGCCCCAATTGAAGAAAGTAGGGAAAACCACTAGACCATTCAGGTATGACCTAAATCAAATCCCTTATGACTATACAGTGGAAGTGAGAAATAGATTTAAGGGACTAGATCTAATAGACAGAGTGCCTGATGAACTATGGATGGAGGTTTGTGACATTGTACAGGAGACAGGGAGCAAGGCCATCCCCAAGAAAAAGAATGCAAAAAGGCAAAATGACTGTCTGAGGAGGCCTTACAAATAGCTGTGAAAAGAAGAGAAGTGAAAAGCAAGGGAGAAAAGGAAAGATATTCCCATCTGAATGCAGAGTTCCAAAGAATAGCAAGGAGAGATAAGAAAGCCTTCCTCAGTGATCAATGCAAAGAAATAGAGGAAAACAACAGAATGGGAAGACTAGAGATCTTTTCAAGAAAATTAGAGATACTAAGGGAACATTTCATGTGAAGATCGGCTCAATAAAGGACACAAATGGTATGGACCTAACAGAAGTAGAAGATATTAAGAAGAGGTAGCAAGAATACACAGAAGAACTGTACAAAAAAGATCTTCATGACCCAGATAATCACAATGGTGTCATCACTCACCTAGAGCTAGGCATCCTGGAATGTGAAGTCAAGTGGGCCTTAGAAAGCATCACTATGAACAAAGCCAATGGAAGTGATGGAATTCCAGTTGAGCTATTTCAAATCCTAAAGATGATGCTGTGAAAGTGCTGCACTCAGTATGCCAGCAAATTTGGAAAACTCAGCAGTAGCCACGGGACTGGAAAAGGCCAGTTTTCATTCCAATCCCAAAGAAAGGCAATGCCAAAGAATGCTCAAACTACTGCACAACTGCACTCATCTCACATGCTAGCAAAGTAATGCTCAAAATTCTCCAAGCCAGGCTTCAGCAATACGTGAACCGTGAACTTTCAGATGTTCAAGCTGCATTTAGAAAAGGCAGAGGAACCGGAGATCAAATTGCCAACATCTGCAATGGATCATCGAAAAAGCAAGAGAATTCCAGAAAAACATCTATTTCATCTGGTAAAGAATCTGCCTGCAATGCGGGAGACTGGGATCGATCCCTGGGTTGGGAAGATCCTCTGGAGAAGGGAAAGGCTACCCATTCCAGTATTCTGGCCTAGAGAATTCCATGGACTGTATAGTCCATGGGGTCGCAAAGAGTCGGACATGACTGAGTGACTTTCACTTTCACTTTCTTCTTCATTGACTATGCTAAAGCCTTTGACTGTGTAAAGAAGTGTAAAGAAAAGAAAGTGTAGTCGCTCAGTCGTGTCTGACTCTTTGTGACCCTGTGGACTGTAGCCCACCTGGCTCCTCTGTCCATGGGATTCTCCAAGCAAGAATACTAGAGTGGGTTGCCATTTCCTTCTCCAGGGGATCTTCCCGACCCAGGGATTGAACCTGGGTCTCCCGCATCACAGGCAGATGCTTTACCCTCTGAGCCACCAGGGAAGCCTGTGTGGATCACAGCAAACTGTGGAAGAGTATTCCCATTCTTAAACAGATGGGAATACCAGACCACCTGACCTGCCTCCTAAGAAATCTGTATGCAGGTCAAGAAGAAACAGAACTGGACAAGAAATGATGGGCTGGTTCCAAATTGGGAAAAGAGTATGTCAAGGCTGTATATTTTCACCCTGCTTGTTTAATTTATACGCAGAGTACATCATGAGAAACCCTGGGCTGGATGGAGCACAAGCTGGAATCAAGATTGCCAGGAGAAATATCAATAACCTCAGATATGCAGATGACACCATCCTTATGGAAGAAAGCAAAGAGGTACTAAAGAGCCTCTTGATGAAGGTGAAAGAAAAGAGTGAAAAAGCTGGCTTAAAACTTAACATTCAGAAAACTAAGATCACGGCATCTGGTCACATCACTTCATGGCAAATAGATGGGGAAACAGTGGAAACAGTGACAGACTTTATTTTCTTGGGCCCCAAAATCATTGCAGATGGTGATTGCAGTCATGAAAATAAAAGACGCTTACTCCTTGGCAGAAAAACTATGACCAACCTAGGCAGCATATTAAAAAGTAGAGACATTACTTTGTCAACAAAGGTCCATCTAGTCAAAGCTATGGTTTTTCCAGTAGTCATGTACAGAGGTGAGAGTTGGACCATAAAGAAGGCTGAGTGCTGAAGAATTGATGCTTTTAAACTGTGGTGTTGGAGAAGACCCTTGAGAGTCACTTGGACTGCAAGGAGATCCAACCAGTCTGTCCTAAAGGAAATCAGTCCTGATTATTCATTGGAAGGACTGATGCTGAAGCTGAAGCTCCAATATTTTGGCCACCTGATGTGAAAGGCTGACACACTGGAAAAGACCTGGATGCTGGGAAAGACTGAAGGCAGGAGGAGAAAGGGATGACAGAGGATGAGATGGTTGGATAGCATCACTGACTCAATGGACATGAGCTTGAGCAAGCTCCAGGAGTTGGTGATGGACAGGGAAGCCTGGCATGCTGCAGTCCATGGGGTCTCAAAGAGTCAGACACGACTGAGGGACTGAACTGAACTGAAACCACTCCAGTGTATCACAACTCTGGAACCTGTGTGCTGCCAACACTGAGCCTCATGCCCGTGAGCCCGCACGCTGCCAGGAGTCTGTGAGCCTAGCGCCTGTGCTCCGCTGCACGGAGAAGCCTGGCACTGCAACAGTGTCCACTGCTCACCACAACTAAAGAACGTCTCGTGCAGCAATAAAGACCCAGCACAGTCAAACAAACAAAACAATCAACATGAGGTATCATTTCATCACGATACTATTATCGAAAAAAAAACTGTACATAACGAGTATTGTTGAGGATGTGGAGAAATTGGAACTCTGGTGCGCTGTTGGTGGGAGGGTAAAATGGTGTAACTGCTGGGCAAAACAGCGTGAAGTTTCCTCAAAAAGTTAAATTTAGCGTTACCATGTGATCCAGCGATTCTACTTTTGGGTATATGCCCCAGAGAAGTGAAAGGTGGGGACGGAAACAGTTATTTGTACATCCAGGGTTGTAGCAGCATTATTTACAATAGCGAAAACCTGGAAGCAACCCCATGTGCATTGATAGATGATAGATGATCAAGGTGCAGCGTATACAGACAGTGGAGTATGATTCAGCTTTAGGAAGCAAGGAGATTCTGACACAGGTCACACCATGGGCGAGCCTCCAAGACATTACAGTGAGTGAAACAGGCCCATCACAAAATACAGACACTGTATGAGTCCATTTAGATGAGGTACCTAGAGAGGACAAATTGATGAGAGACAAAAAGCAGAAGGCTGGTGGCAGGGCGAATAGGAAATTACGGCTTAATGGGGACACAGCTTCAATTTGAGATGATGCAAAAGTTCTGGAGATGGACGGTGGTGATGGTTGCACAAAAATGTGGATGTACTTATGTCAGAGCATTGTACATTAAATATAGCTAAAATGGGAAATTTTAATATACATTTTTTTTTAAAGAAAGAGTAGTTGATGATAATGGCCGAGTAACAAGGGGAATGCCATTTGGGAGAACTCTGGAATCCACATCAGGAAAGAAGTCAAAAGTGTTAGCCACTCAGTCATGTCAGGCTCTTTGAGACCCCATGGACTGTAGCCCACCAGGCTCCTCTATCCATGGAATTCTCCAGGCAAGAAAATTGGAGTGGGTTGCCATTCCCTTCTCCAGGGGATCTTCCCAACCCAGGGATCAAACCCAGGTCTCCTGCATTGCAGTAAGATTCTTTACCATCTGAGCCACCAGGGAAGCCCAGAAATAGATATCTAAAGATACTATACGGGGACTTCCCTGGTGGTCCAATGGTTAAGACTTCACCTTGCAAAGCAGGAGGTGCGCGTTTCATCGCTGGCCCGGGAGTTAAGATCCCACATGCCTCCTAGTCAGAAAACCAAAATACAAAACAGAAGCAATACTGTAACAAATTCAATACAGATGTTAAAAATGGTCTACATATAAAAAGTCTTTTTAAAAAAAGATACTATAGAGAAGTCCATTTATATTTTTAGAAGTGTTCTATCTCTACATGGGTTGTTTTATGGTAACAGGCATTGGGGATTCCAAGATTTCAGGGGCCTGTGTGTGTGGGAGGCAGATTGTGACCTGCCCTAGAAGACGGAGTCTTAGGTCATGTCTGGAGGAGATGAACAGGGAGATGTGGATGGTATAAATTACTGGGTTGACCGAAAATGACAGTTTAGATTTTTCAGAGGAAAGAATTTCTGTTTTTGCTTAGTTTCCTGCATTTGAAACATCTCTGGAAAGTGATGTCACAAGATTATGTGTTTCCACTTATCTGGATCATTTAGAAAGAACAGTCCAAAACCAAAACCAACATCCCGCACACCCCTCCAGGCAACTGGGAGCATCATCAAGAGTTTAAAGGCAGTTTCCTTGCAGTATACAGCTCCCGCCACCCCCAATGCCACCCCCCCCCCCACCATCATAGAGTTTTCATGGATGTAGGTATGGGCCCCAATCTTCAGAAATGCTCAGTGATCATCACTGTTACTATTATTACTGGAGGAGGACACAGGAAGGCCTCCAGGCGGGAAGCCCCCAGAGCACAGATGGAAGGCCCCTGCGTCTGGGCACAGCAGGCCTCATTAGCTAGCCCTGTCCCAGTGAACCTCTGACGCAAATGAAACCAGTGTTTATATGACCACGGTGTCTGCTTTATTTCAAAGGGCTTGGAACTATTTTCCAGTGGCTTTTCAAGGATTCAGTCCTCTGGTTCCAGTAAACCTCTGTCCTTTGTAATGAAATCGGCTCAGCATGGCTGCTCCAGGTACTGGGGTGGCAAGTGAAGAGCCCGGGGTAAGAAGAAAGAGAAGGCTCCATGTCTGGGGGACAGGAGGGCACCACGTCTGCACAGGGTCACAGTTCAGGGCCCATCCCTGGAAACTCGTGTGGGGGAATCTGCCAGCATTGGGCGGCCAGCTGGAGCTGCACAAGGGCCCTGGGGAAGGGGGAAAAGGCTCTGTAAGACTCTGTTTACCTGGGATGTTACCCCTTAGACCTGCAGAGATGGGAAGACAGTGATGAACTTAGCATGTAAAGAATTGTTTCCTTCAGGTCTTGTTCTCAGCCTGGAAAGCTGACATGAAGTTTTCTCTCTTGACACAGGAAATGGAGGAAGAACAGCAAAGGGGAGGAGTCCTTTAGAAAGGTGTGGGCACATGTGGATCCTCCCTGCAATGCCCGACTTGCAGGGAGGTGGCTGGTCCAGGCAGACGAAACCCTGCAGCCCGAGACCACTCATGTGGCTCTCTGCCCCACCCCTCCCCAACCTGGGCCACCTACTTGACTTGCCGGCCGGTCCTCCCGACCTCTGAAGGCTGCCTCGCATCACAGGATCCGGGCATCATGGGCTGGATGGGCTGGCTCAGCAGTAGCCTTGGAGCCAACGAGGAGAGAAATGGGAAACTGTGATCAGTACGCAAGCTGTGGACCCGCCGGCCAATCCGCGCCTGCCGAGCCTCGCTGGCCCCTTTCTGGCTGGCCCCACAGAACCCCTGCCGCTCTGTTCCAGAGGATCCTTCAGGCAGCAGGTCTCCTCCTGGGGCCATCGAGACCCCAGCCTTGTCCTGTCACTTCATGAGCTGAGATCAATTGTAGAGTTTATTAACAAATGAGTTATTTACAAAACAGAAACAGACTCACAGCCTTAGAGAACAAACTTACAGTTGCCAGGGGGAAAGATGAGGGGATGGTTGGGGGGTTGGGGATAGACATGTATGCACGGCTATATTTAGGATAGATCACCAACAAGGACCTACTGTACAGCACAAGGAACTCTGCTCACTGTCACGTGGCGGCCTGGATGGGAGGGGAGTCTGGGGGAGAGTGGACACATGTGTATGTGTGACTGAGTCCCTTTGCTGTCCACCTGAAACCATCACAACATTGTTAATCAGCTTCATGAAAAAAGCGAACGTGTTAGCTGCTCAGTCGTATCTGTTTCTTTGTGACCCCATGGGCTATAGCCTGCCAGACTCCTCTGACTGTGGAATTCTCCAGGCAAGAATACTGGAGTGAGTTGCCATTGCCTTCTCCAGGGATCAAAACTGGGTGTCCCGCATTGGCAGGCAGATTCTTCACCAGCTGAGTGACCAGGGACTCCAATACAAAATTAAAAATTCAATTTAAAAAACTGCAGTGGATTTAGAGTCTATTTGTCTAAACTCTGCCTCCATCTTCAGCAGAGAGCCAAGATGAACAGTGTAAAACTATGTCTCAGTTACCTTTCCAAAAAGGACAGAGTCTATACCTGAGCTGCCGGTCATGGCTGAAGTCCGGGCTGGGTTGGCCCTGGGGGGCCTCCTGGGAGGCGGAAGCTGGCGTGGTCAGGCTCAGAGCCGACGGGAGCGCAGGGGTGGTGCTGCTAAACTGGGGTGTCAGGCTGCTCCCCTGAATCATCTGTGAGCTTCTCAATGGCTTTGGACCCTGGAGCAACCATTGAAACAAGAAAGGAAAACCTTCAGCTCAACTCAGGTGTTACCTCCCCAGAACCTCTTTCTTTTACCCGCTTAGGCCTTTCTGAACATTTAGGGCCCACTGACCATCATTATGATGTTTTGGTGTTATGACTGGTTTTCCTGTTGGACTGTAAGCATGTCAAGGATTCTTTAAACCCTTTGGGATTTAAAGGACAGTGCCAGGCTTGGGGCAGGCATGCCATTACTGAATCCATGATGGTTTGTTATTTAGTTCCTAAGTCCTGTGCGACTCTTTGCAACCCCATGGACTGTAGTTCACCAGGCTCCTCTTCCTCTTGCCTCAGGCAAGAATGCTATAGTGGGTTGCCATTCACTTCTTCAGGGGATCTTCCTGACCCAGGGATCAAACCCATGTCTCCTGTATTGGCAGGTGGATTCTTTATTGCCGAGCCACTTGCTGCTGCTGCTAAGTCACTTCAGTCGTGTCTGACTCTGTGCGACCCCACAGACAGTAGCCCAATATCTCCTCTGTCCCTGGGATTCTCCAGGCAAGAACACTGGGGTGGGTTGCCATTCCCTTCTCCAATGCATGAAAGTGAAAAGTGAAAGTGAAGTCGCTCAATAGTGTCTGACTCTCAGCGACCCCAGGCTCCTCCATCTGTGGGATTTTCCAGGCAAGAGCACTGGAGTGGGGTGCCATTGCCTTCTCCGTGCCGAGCCACCAGGGAAGCCCAAATCCATGAGTATGTGTATAAATAAAAGAGGCTTCAGGAAAAGCTGGATCCAGCCTTCCAAGCTGTGATGGTCTGGAAGCAGGGGCTCAGAACTTCTTGAATCCATTGGGCTCAAGTGCCACTGATGGATGGGTGACCCTGTCAGATGCAAGGTCACTGGTGGCTTGCAGTAAGTGGTAATGACTGTGAGGGCAGGGCTTGAGAGGGAATCTGGGGGACCAGGAGGCACATGGTGACTCTGCAGAAAGGGATGGTAAACAGAAGTGGATAACTGTTCTCACACGTGTGCGTGCATGCTAAGCCGCTTCAGCCATGTCTGACTCTGTGTGACCCTATGGACTGTAGCCCTCGGTCCGTGGGATGTCCCAGGCAAGAATACTGGAATGGGTTGCCATTTCCTCCTGCAGGGGATCTTCCTGACTCAGGGATCAAACCTCTGTCTCATGTCTCCTGCACTGGCAGGTGTGAAGCCCAAAGCCAGGGTCGATAATGGCCACCAAGGACACATGTGTGTCCCCATATGTGGGGATGTGTGGCTTTCAGCATGCATGTCAGAGATGGCCATTTCTACCTCCAGCCAAGCTCAGAATCAGAGCTGAACGTTCCAGCTGCATGATGCCTTGAAAGCATTTTAATATAGTGATAAAACACAGAAGGGAACCAGTAGAACTTGGGACTTCAAAGTGACAAAGACAAGAAAAACCCTGTCATGATTATCCAGCTCTGGTCATAGGAGTAGATTTCTGGTTGTTGAAGACCATCTGCTGGTGATAGGGGCTGAGTCTGGAGATGAGCACATTTACCTGGGTCGATATCACACTCGATTCTCTTAGCAGGTGCTGGTTCGTGACCTGGGCAGAGGCTATCTGCCCTGGAAGCTGTGGGCTGGCCACAAGCTGGGGACCTGGGCCAGACCTCTGCTGAAGCTGCTGCTGAGTCTCCGACCGCTGGGCACTGCTGAAGCTCAGGGATCCATCTGGCTGCTGCAGAAACATCTGGAAGCACAACAGAAACGCTGTAAGGCTGTGATCACTGCCCGCACAGGCCCGCCCCTTCTTTGTATGGCCTGCCTATCCTGGGCACAATGGCAGCTTTCTTACTCACACTGACCTGCCTGGGAAGGTTCACCCACTGGATGTTGAGACACTGAGTGCCTGGGAGGCCACCCGCAGAGTGCGTGAACCAGAGAGGGGCAGCCGGTGGCAGGGATTCTGACCTGGCCCTCAAGAAGGCTCTGGTCTAGTGACGCGGGTCTAACAGTGTGAAAGATGCTGAGACCCAGGTATGCCCCTCGAGATGCTCATTTAGTCTGTACTGGCTTGTCACTTTCTTATTAGAAGAAGAAACATCTTGTGAATGGAAGGAATAACACAATCATGGTGGCAGAGGGTTGGTTGACTAGTGGTGGGGGACGCATCGTCCTGGCAGTAGGACCTATGCCCGGGCTTGAATCTCTGACCAGTGACCACCATCTGTACCCATCCTATGGTTTGTATCATCCATCCAGCTCCCGGCTGAGAGGGCAGTTCTGCCCTGGTTAACGAGGTGCCTCTGCATTCCCAAGAAGGCAGGTAACTCCAAAGGATGACATAACATCAAGTCCATGAACTTTAAAATGATGTTTAAGAAAAGTTTTACAATCACCATACTAATCTCTAAGTGTTATTTAGTGTGTCTCAGACATTCAATAAGCACAGCTTTATCAGCCTGGTAGTTTTTTTTTTCTAATTTGGTTTTTTCATTTGTTTTTATTAATTGGAGGCTAATTCCTTTACAATATTGTAGTGGTTTTTGCCATACATTGACATGAATCAGCCATGGATTTACATGTGTTCCCCATCGTGAACCCCCCTCCCACCTTCCTTCCCATCCCATCCTGCTGGGTCATCCCAGTGCACCAGCCCAGCCTGGTGGTTCTAATGGCAAAGGTTTAAGAGAATTTGATCCAGTTTGTAGAGTGTTTAAAAGGCTATGAGAACCTTGGTCTACTCTGTTCATAAAGTTGGTGTATCCAATTTAAAACAGTTTCTTAAGGGCTTCCCTGTTGGCTCAGTGGTAAAGAATCTGCCTGCCAGTGCACAGGACGCAGGTTCGATCCCTGGTCTGGGAAGATGCCACTTGCCTCATCGCGTAACTAAGCTCGTGAGCCTCAACTCCTGAGGTTACAGCTACGGAGATGCATGCACCTACAGCTTGTGCTCCACAAGAGAAGCCCCCGCAGTGAGGAGCCTGCACACCCCAACAAGGAGAAGCCCCCATTTGCCACAACTAGAGAAAGACTGCTTGAAGCAACAAAGCCCCAGAAAAGCCAGAAATAATACAGAAATAAAAAATTTTTAAAGAGAATTCCTTAAGGGCCCAGAAAGATTTTACTTCTTAGGTTTGTAAGTCTGCCTAGCCAGGAACATGAACTGTCTGAAAGGTTAAGCTACATTAAATTTGTAAATTAACGGTTTTCATAATGAGTGTTATTTACCATTTGCCAAATTTATAAACTAGTTGAATGTGAACACAAGTAAAAGCACTGGTATTTTTGGCCATGTCAGTAGATTTGTAAATAAAATGTAATCTGTGGATTGATTGTAAAGGTTTAAGAAAGAGAACTTTAGTAATTTCTATCACACTTTAAACTTAAGACCTGTGACTAGCTCTTTTTAACAAAAGTTCCTCTTGGGCATTAAAAACTGGTATTATCTGTACTATGGGCTTCCCTGGTGGCCCAGACGGTAAAGAATCTGCCTGGAATGCAGGAGACCTGGGTTCAGTCCCTGGCTCAGGAAAATCCCCTGGAGGAGCGAATGGCAACCCACTCCAGTATTCTGGCCTGGAGAATTCCATCGACAGAGAAGCCTGGAGGGCTAGAGTCCCTGGGGTCACAGAGTCAGAGAAGACTGAGCAACTGACACTTTCACTTCCATTATCTGTATCAGATTCTTGACAAGCCGTATCCCACTGCATTTTTAGATCCTTAGCTCTGAGGGCTGAAAGACTCTCCCCTCTGATCGTCTAGAACTTTACCCCGAATTCCTGCATTCAGGGTGGCATAACCTCACACCCAGTATGGAACTGACATGCTGACACGTGCTGAGTGACAGGGTGGTTTTGGAACGACAGCTGTGGGATCGCTCCAGGCAGATGCTTAATCAGTTAGTTCCAGCATCTGCACCATAGGGTATGTCAAGCCCTGAGCAAGATGACTATCTAATGCCCCTCCAGCCACACCACCAGGCGAGTCTCCCCACTTTCCTTTCTGCCCCAACCCACCAGAAAAGCCTGCAATTTTGACTGAAGGCTCTTTGTCACTTTAGAAGTTAAGAAGAATTTCCTGGCTTTCCGTCCTCTCAGATCCAATACCCAAATGTTCAGAATTAGTGCTTTACACAACCTCAGCAAGCTGGCTTATTCATAGCACACGAGGTAATTTACATTACAGCAAAAACCCAGTAATCAAACTAAATAACAAACATTTTTCTGGTGATATACAGCTTACCTTCTGATTAGAGTTCAGACAAATGCAACCTTTATTTATGATAGGCAGTATCATCTAGCTTAAATCCGACAGACTTTAGTTCAAATTCCAACCCCACCACATACTAGTGGTATGAACTTGGGCAATTTTCAAAAACTTCAAATTGACTGTTAGTTTCCTCATTAATAAAACAGTACCATTAACACCATATACCTCATAAAAGATTTAATGGGATTTATGCTGAGGCATAACCCTAGGTGCTCAATAAATGTTAGGGGATAACAATATTTAAAATAAAAAAGGAGTTCCTTTTGCTCCTTTGCCTCTTTAGGCATACAAAAACTATCTGAGGACCTCCTTGGTGGTCCAGTGAGTAAGAATCTTCCTGCCAATGCAGGGGACACAGGTTTGATCACTGGTCTGGGAAGATCCCACCCACATGCCATGGAGCAACTAAGCCTGTGCAACCACAACTTCTGAGCCCTCGCACCCTAGAGCCCATCTCTGCAGCAGGAGAAGCCACCGCAATAAGAAGCCTGTGTACTGCAACTAGAGAGGGGCCTGAGCACAGCAAAGATACAGTTAAAAAAAAAAAAGAAAAAAACTTAGAAGTGAATGAATAGAATAAATAAATGAACAAACAAATCAAGTTTTGCTCAAAGAAGGGAGAATGTTTATGTTTATATTAAGGCAGAGACTGCTGGGTCTGCTACTCTGTCCCATTGATGTATGTTCTCTGAGGGCAGAAACCTTATTCTGTTTATTCCTGTGTCCCCACAGTACCTAACCAATTGCCTGCAACATACTGGGTGTCTGCTAGATGGATGGATGGATGGCAGGGTGGAGGGGTGGGTGGGTGGTGTATGGATGGATGGGGGGATGTATGGTGGATGAATGGATAGATGTGTGGACAGAGGGATGGAAAGAAGGGTGGAAGGATGGACGGATAGAAAGATGGATGAAAGAACCAATCAGAGAACACACCTGCCATTGCCACAGGTGTCCTTCTCTATATTTCTTGGCAGCACCAGTAGAGGGCATGAGTACTCTCAAAAATAAATTAAGAGGTGCTCTCCCAAGGACGCAGAGGTGACAGCTTTTCAGCTGAACAGCTCTCTATGTAGCACCCTTCATGATCCCATCTAGGTGCAAACACCACATCCTGAGAACGTCTCCCTCATAACCCAATCTTTTTTGGAAAAAAAATATACACTTAGCAAGCATCTCAGGCCTACATAGACTCAATGAAGCTCCAAGACAATGGAATAGGTAAGAAAAAAATCCACTGAAGTTGGGAATAATGGACCTGGGGGGAGTGGGGAAGGGGTAGGATTTGCTACTGTGCATGTCCACGAGCCCCTGCTTTAGTGACAGTAAAGGAGAATTGTACGGCTTAAGAAGATGACTTCTTAACAGTGCTCTGGAGTCAGTTTTATTGAAAGCCTGATTCAAGTGGGCAAAGTCATCTGAGAAAAAAAAAACCTTTAATTTTCCACCAAACTAATCCTACTGCTCACATGTGGTTTTCATTGTTCTTATATGCTTAGCTTTACACACTTATTATTACAGAACATTTCAGAAGTACAGAAAATAGATACTGTATAATGAAACCCCATATATCAATGCTAGGCTTCAGCAATTATCCACGTTTTGCTCTTATTTAATCTATCCTCCCACTTTTTTTTGGGAGGATTGGAGTAATTTTTACTTGCTTATCTTTTATGCTTGACTCACTTATTTTTTTTTTTTTAAATCACATTTTGGCTGAACATTTCGGAACGTATCTCTTTAAATCCTTAAACGTGCAAAAATACATGAAAAAAGACTCTTTGAGGACTCGTTCTCTGGTTTAACTGTGGATTTCCAAGCTCATTGGAAAATTCCACTGCAAAGATAAGGTAAGGGAAGAAACCAGCGGAATAACACGTGGAGCCCTGCTGCCCACGTCATCACTCACAAAGCTCAGGTGCTAGACCTTGGGGGTCAACAAAATGCACTGTCAAGAGGAAGAAAAATAATAACGCTTCATACCAGCGAGCAAAAGAGATAGCCTTGTGTCCCTGTCACTTCAGAGTTCAGCTTTGAAAATAGAGAAGTCAGGGCTCCGAGGCGGATGTTCATCCGCCCACCTTGCTTTTAGCAGTTTCTGGTTCAGTGCCCTGTTCCTGGTAAAGTAAAAATTCTATTCAAGTCAGGAATTCTAGTCACTGGACCCTGGATTGGTGAGGACCAAGATAAGGCACTTTGATGACCCCTTGTGTCTTCACATAAGTGCTGCAGTACTGTCCCTTGGCAACTTGGGGATGCCACTCAGGAGGTTGGGGGAGCACAGGGCTGTGGGCGGGGTGAAGGGTTATAGGCGGAGCACAGGGCTGTGGGCGGGGCGAAGGGTTATAGGCGGAGCACAGGGCTGTGGGCGGGGCGAAGGGCTATAGGCGGAGCACAGGGCTGTGGGCGGGGTGAAGGGTTATAGGCGGAGCACAGGGCTGTGGGCGGGGTGAAGGGCTATAGGCGGAGCACAGGGCTGTGGGCGGGGTGAAGGGTTATAGGCGGAGCACAGGGCTGTGGGCGGGGCGAAGGGTTATAGGCCGAGCACAGGGCTGTGGGCGGGGCGAAGGGCTATAGGCGGAGCACAGGGCTGTGGGCGGGGTGAAGGGTTATAGGTGGAGCACAGGGCTGTGGGCGGGGTGAAGGGTTATAGGCGGAGCACAGGGCTGTGGGCGGGGTGAAGGGTTATAGGCGGAGCACAGGGCTGTGGGCGGGGCGAAGGCTTGTGGGCGGGGCTGGCTGGTCCAGAGGCACCGAGCCTGACTGGGCTCCTCTGCCTACAGGGACGGGAGGGGCCAGGCCGGGCAGAGAGGGCAGCCCCGGGTTTAGAGCATAGGTAAAGCCCACCAGGAACATCTGTGGGGACCCAGGGAGGCAGGATGGCTGGCTCTAGGAGTCTCCAGGCTGCCCAACACCTTTGGACTACCCTGTGTTCATCTCAGTTCAAGGTGTTCTTATGTCCACAGGAGAGGTTGCGTGGATGGTGGGGGTGTGGGGGGTGGAGTGGACGGCAGGGTCAGTGCGCTAGCCATTTCCCTCAGGGGTCTCTTTTGCTTCTATCTGCTCCCGCCTAGGTGGGTGCCAAGGCTTACCTCACTCAGGGCAGACTCCAAGTTGGCTACGTTTACAATCAAAGGCTAGGGCCAAAGAATGCTCTTTGGAAGAAAAACAGTCCTGGACTGATTTAAATGAAACTTGGTAAAAATAATTTAACCTTGAAAGAGATCCAATATATAAGGTTTTTCCCTCCAGAAAGGAATCTCCAGATAAGATTCAAAGAAGTGACATCTGGGGTTGGGGTGGGGTGGGCTCCAATTAAAAGCAGCTGCTGTCAGAGGGCACCCCAATTGCCATGCTGCAATGGGGGTGGCCTGGGGGTGCCAGGGTGCTGACCTCCAGTGTCTGGCTCCTGGGCCGCCCCCCTGCAGGGGGCAATGGGCACAGATTCGTGTCTCCCTGCATTCATGTTTTGGATGGGAGCAAAGAGTAGACCATCTCTTTGTCAGCAGCCTGGGTTGGGTGCTCGGAGAGCAGTCACACAGGTGCTGGGGAGTTTAAAACTCCATGGGAGGGAGGCTGGTGTCTGTGCGGGTGACTAACCACCAAACACATGAAACAAAGTGCAGGCAGCACAGGAAATGTGTGCCCAACAGAGTGAGGGGTGAGTGAAAAGGCCATCATGTGAATTTTAGGTTTGGCCTGGAGCTGGGGATGGTGGCGGTGGGGTTCCTTACTTGCAGTTCACTGGTAGAGGTTTCAGTTTGTTCAGGAGGCAGGCACAGTAAGGCAGCCTAGTGAACCTTGGAGGGAGTCCTGGCTGCCCTGAAAGGGTGGGTTAGGACACATCACACAGCGGTGGGGAGCACAGAGCCCGGGGACCGCTGGCCCAGTAAGGGGCATCACCTGCACGTTGGAGTCCTGAACCAGGCAGAGCTGCTCCTGGATCTTGTGCAGTTCTTCCTGCTGCCACCGGATGTTGGCTTGCAGGATGCGTGTCCGCTGCTCCAGCTGGTCTTTGATGGTCTGGAACATGCTGAGCTGTGCTGAAAACTTGAAGGTGGGGTCAAGACACAGAACCCAGTGAGCGCGCTATTTCAGCCATGCAGACGGATATTGCTGTTGCTCTGAGTGGCCCGTGCACTTTCAGGCCCTTTCCCTCCCTTTGCAGCATCCCTGACCCACTGCTGGGGAGCTTGCCCATGGGCACTGGCTGGATAAGGGTGGGGGTGGCCCTGGGACTCCCCTGTGAGCTTTTCTCAGGCCCATGAGGACCTGCAGTCTAATTCATTGCACTCTCGTCTGGGAGGGCCAGCTCTGGGATTCATATAGACTGTGTATATATATGGGCTTCCCACATATATATATGTGGCTCAGACAGTAAAGGGCCCACCTGCAATACAGGAGACCTGGGTTGGGAAGACCCCTGAAAGATGGAAATGGCAGTCCACCTCAGTATTCTTGCTTGTAGAATTCCACAGACAGAGGAGCTAATGCACTGTTAGTCTGGGAGGGCCAGCATTGGGATTCGTGTGGAATGTGAATATATACATACATATATGGGCTTCCCAGGTGGCACTAGCGGTAAAGAACCTGCCTGCCAATGCAGGAGACATAAGAGACGCAGGTTTGATCCCTGGGTTGTGAAGATCCCCTGGAGTAAGAAATGACAACCTGTTCCAGTATTCTTGCCTGGAGAATTCCATGGACAGAGGAGCCTGGCAGGCTACAGTCCATAGGACTGCAAAGAGTTGGACAACAACTGAAGCGACTTAGCATGAACGCACATATAAGTGAATTGCTTTGTTGCATGTCAGAAATTAACACATTGTAAATCAACTACACTTCAATAAAAAATATTGGTTAAAACATCTGCTCCTAAACATTTGTTTAAAAATATCTGCTCTATACCAACCGTATCACAAAAATCTCACTCAGAAATCTCACTGATCAAAACACCAAGCTAGGATTTTGAAAGAGAATTCGATTGAGAAAGAAAAGGTCTATCAGGTATTCAGTTAAGACAACAAAAGACAAAAGCTCCTGCGCTGGGTTCCCTAAAGTCTGGAGACTGTCCAGGCTATAACACCCATGTCCAGACAGGATGCTCTGGACTGCCCCTTGGCTCCCAAGGGAAACAATGAGGCGGCTGGAGGCAGTCATCAGTGAGGGCTCAGCACCAAATTTCATGAGTGTTAATTACTTCTAGTATTATTCTTATTTTCCTAAGGCATTCCAGGAATCCCCAAACACGAATCTCTTGTTATATTCTTTCTTTAAAATTTATTTACTTTTAATTGGAGGATAATTGCTTTACAATGTTGTATTGGTTTCTGCCATACACCAACATGAATCAGCCACAGGTACACACATGTTCCCTCCTGTCCTGAACCTCCCTCCCACTTGCTATCCCATCCCACCCCTCTAGTTTGTCACAGGCACCAGGTTAGCTCCCTGCGTCATACAGCAAATTCCCATTGGCTATCTAGTTTACATAGGGTAATGTATATACTTCAACCCTACGCTTTCAATTTGTCCCACTCCCTCCTCCTGTTGTATCTACAAGTCCATCCTCTAAGTCTGTGTCTCCATTGCTGCCTTGCAAATAGGTCCATCTGTACCATTCTTCTAGATTCCATATATATATATATATGTTAATATGCAATATTTCTTTTCTCTTTCTGAATTACTTCACTCTGTATAACAGTCTCCAGTCTTGTTATATTCTTGATCATGGCCTTTTTGATAAAGAGTTTTATCCCAACTTAGAGACATGTTAGCAACACACCATGAAGCAAAAGCATCACTTACCCAGATAGCCAATTTCTCAGAGTTTGGATTTTATTTTATACTTCCCCTTTCCCTGATGGGGTCCCTCAGTGATAACATCAGTGAGGGGAAAGAGAAAACTGCAGAATCTCATTTTTCACATGAGTAGGCATGAGAAAAACTGTCTGACATGAAAGGACAACATTATGCAAGAACCTCTTAAAGAATACAGCTATTAAGTATAATATGCCTAAGAGACTAAGAACTGTTAGTGTTAATTAAAATGAGGTTCAATATATGAAAAATTAGAATTCCAAAAGGGCCTTCATCACACCATGACTTATTATAAAACAAAGACATTCTTTCCTATGGAAGACTCACAAGTTGAAGGAATTCTCATTTCAAGGGCCTGTGGGTAAAAGAAGTTACTTTCTACCAAATGTGCCTTGGGAATTTGAAGACAGAAAAATAATTCTTTTTTTCCTAATGAGGATGAATAGAGATCATGTTAGTCAATTCTGCATGGGTTGGTTTTATATCCTTCCTTAAGCCTAACTCTAGCAAGAGGCACATGCTAGCATATGTCTTTCTTATTCTAGGAAAACATACGAGGCATATGTTCTGAAAAGATTTTCATCAGTGGTGCCAGATTGGCAGCAAGACAGACTCTACATTTTAGCAAGAGTATGGCCAGGGGCACATGATGATAGACTGCCTCCAGGACCCCCTTGTGGCCAGGGAGGGGGCAAAATTCAATATCCCATAAAAGAATTGAAATCCGAGGTCTGACCAGTCAACTCAACTGCTCTTGGAGTTCCACAGGCAGAATATATATATATACATTTTTTTAAACTGGTTCTATAAAAACACACACTGCATGGTGGCTTCTCTGTTCACATGAGCATCTCTCCCTTCAACTCTGAGTCCAAAAGCGAGGGCCCTGTGACAAGCATCCTTGCCTCCTTCACACTCACTTCCTGACTGACCCAAATAGTAACTCACTGAATGTTGTTGAAACAAAGCAGGAATTACTCCGCAAAGCCCTGATCCTTTATTTTTTTAAAAATGTGCTATTTATAGTACTGGACTCAGAGCTTTTAAATCCTCGTAGAGGCTTCCTATGACATTTGTCCTAACTCAGACCTTCTCTAAAATATTGTGATCGATCAGGAGTCATGAAAAATGAGAGGAACACAGAAAAGCGGCCAAGGGACGAAGCAAGATTGCTGACAGTATTGAGAGATAGGTGCCGGGGAAGATCAATGGGAGGATGGACGGAGATGAGGACAGCGGGGAGAGGCAGGGGAAGGAGGGGGGCGGCGGTCCACAACTCAACAGGCCCTGCCTGCACGTGGGGAGAAAGAGTCTCGTTTTGGGGGCCTTGGTCTGGAGCCTGTATGTTGGCACCAGTGCACCCACACCCTCCAGTGGATTTCAGCATCCTGTCTCAAGGAAGTGCCTCGCTGGGTCGCCCTTGCCCTGAGTCCCAGACTCACCTGTGACACTGGGGCAGGTGGGCTCTGCAAGATGGTCTGAGGCAGGAGCTGCTGTGTAAGGTCACAGGACGCCGGGGCTGGCAGGGGGGCCTGGGGGAGAGAGAGAGGGTGGCTTTGATACATATAAGCTTCTCGGGGTTATTACAGAAGTGATGGGGCGCCGTCTCTCAGCCAGCTGGGCTCTCTGGCTTCAAGGAGGCCCTTGAAGTGGATTTAGGATCTAGGATCGGCCCTAGAGTGGATCGCTCACTTCTGGAAGGTATATGTTCCCCTGAAAAAGGTGGGGTCACAGGCTATTACCCTTGCAGGGAATGGAGTCAGAGCTGACACACAGCTGGTAATGGGTGGGGGTCCTGGGACCACTCAGGCCCGACGTTCCCACCATGGTGTTTTCTGCAGAATCACCACCACCAGCTGGAGCTGGGCATTGTCACGCCACCCTCCCTCCCCTCCTGTTCTTGGCTCCATTCTTGGTGGATTTGATTGGTCTTTTCCTAAACTGACACTTTCTCAGTGGTGCTGTACAGCAGAAAGAATGGGTACTCATAACCAGTGTTGGCTCTGAGTGGCCTTCTGGCTCAACACTCACACTAACATGGACAGATGCACCAGCACGCTATCACTGCCTTGCCCAGGCACTGTTTGTGGCTGCATTTTCACCGGACACTGCTGGAATCTGGTGGAGCGAGTCCTGCAAGGTCAGCTGAATCCCAGACCTTGTGGGCAGGGGGCTGTGGGGGGCTGGACTAGAATTGGGGGAGAACAATGTGTAGAAACAAGAAACGCAACCCTCAGCTTCATGAAGCTCTTGAGAATTTTTAAAAGTAAAAAGATTCTTCTGAAGCTATTCCATCATTGCCCCAGGCCCTGGGGGCTATGAAAAGCAAGTCCAATGGCAGGTTGCCCCCCAGGACAGCACTGGGGGCAGAGCAGCTTGTTTTGAATGAGAGTCCTAGGGGCTGGTTCCGATTCTCCCAATTTTGTTCCATTGCTCAACTGGGTGGAGGAACCCTGCCACCCGAAGCTGTTAGAAGACCAGTTTGCTAGAGTGGCTAGAAAGCCAGGTTTGGAACTGGATGACCTGAGTTCAAACAGCTCTTCTGTCCACCTCTCTGAGTTTCAGCTTCCTCATCTATCACTATTTCTAGCTGTGGCCCATTTCTAGAGTCTCTGCCACCACCTGGTACTCTCTTTGATGTGTTAACTCACTCACTTCTCAAGCTAGAAGGTATTATGATTATTCCCAAACCTAGATACAGGTTAGTTAACTTACTCAGAGCCACACAGTTAATAAATATGAAGTGAGTGATATTTGAAGCAGGTGGCATGAGTCCAAGCCTTTTTGCTTCACTATGTGTACTGTATTTTCAGTATTCCTGAACAAGTGGAAAATTTGAGGAGCACTTTAGAAGAAAGGTTTGTTGTTGTTTAGTTGCGATGTTGTTTCTTTTTTGTGACCCCATGGACTGTAGTCAGCCAGGCTCCTCTGTCCATGGGATTTAACAGGCTAGAACCCTGGAGTGGGTAGCCATTCCCTCTTCCAGGGGATCTTCCCAGTCCAGGGATTGAACCTGTGTCTCCTGCATTGGCAGGTGGGTTCTTTACCACTGACCACCTGGGAAGCCCATGAAGAAAGATTTAGAGGTGTTCAAGAAAAGAGGTGGTCTCCAGGGACCAGGAGCTCAGACGGTAAGACTCTCACGTTTTTTGGCCCCTTATGCATGCTCAGTTGCTCAGTCGTGTCTGACTCTTTGTGACCCCATGGGCTGTAGCCTGCCAGGCTCCTCTGTCCATGGGATTTCCCAGGCAAGAATATTAGAGTGGGTTGCTATGCCCTCTTCCAGGGGATCTTCCCAACCCAGGGATTGAACTTGGGTCTCCTGTGACTCCTGCATTGCAAGGGGATTCTTTACTGCTGAGCCACTGGGAAAGCCCAGTGACTTCACTCCCATCTCCAAAATGTCAGCCAGGGATGGGAAGAAGGTACTTGGCAACTATCTGAATGTGAGCCCTAAATTTGGGGACACTTTCCCCCTCAAAAGCAAGGTCTGTGTCCCACTCCATGGGTGAGCTTGTGACTACTCTGACCGAGCGGGATGGTGGAGGTAATGTATTGGGACTTGAAGGGGAGGGCACGGAAGGCCAGGTGGCTTGTGTTTGGCTCTTGTGGGCGGTCCTTCTCCAGAGTCTTTGTCTTGGAACCCGGGGCCTTGCTGGGAGGATGGCATGGAGACGCCCATGCAGGTCAACAGAAGATGCTCTTGGCTGAGCCCACCTTCAGCTGGGGAGGCACAGGCCAGGGATGTGGACCTCCCAGCCCTGAATGGGGAGCCCTCCAACACCAGGCAGTAGAGAGGAGTCACCCCCACTGTGCCCTCTCTGAACTTCTGACTCAGAATCCGTGAACATGGAAAATCCTGGTAGCTTCATACCACTGAGTGTGGTGTGGTTGGCAGCTTGTGATGGATCACTGGAGTATGGTAGGTACATCAGTAACTCTGCATCCAGCCAGTGTGCTTTCTAGGAGGCCACGTTCCCTGACATCCTGGAGTGGTTGTTCTTCAGTCACTCACTCATGTCTGACTCTTTGGGACTCCTGGCCTGCAGCACACCTGGCTTCCCTGTCCTTCACCATCTCTGGAAGCTTGCTCAAACTCACGTCCATTGAGTCAGTGATGCCATCCAGCCATCTCATCCTCTGCTTCTCCTCTTGCCCTCAATCTTTCCCAACATCAGGGTCTTTTCCAATGAGTCCTGGAGAGGCCTGGCATGTATGAAGGATGCTGCCTGATTCTGGGTTGACCAATAAGTTCATTTGGGTTTTACATAAGATGGAATGGAAAAACCCAAACAAACTTTTTGGGCAACCCAATATATGCCAAGGGACATTTTTGTTGACATCAAGCTTCTTAAGACACCTTCACTGGGAATAGGGGTCCAAAATGGGAGGGTCCTGATCATGTACCCCCAGAGGCTCTGGGGATGGAACCCCCCCCCCCCAGGTTTGAAGTTTCAAGCTTTAAAACTCCTTTGGATTTTGCACTCTGTGGATATACATCCATGTTAATTTTGAGATCAGAGTGTTTCAAATTAGTTGCCAATTAAGCTACTTAGCTTCCCACCCCCGCCCGCCACCCACAGTCTCTAAGTAGAGCGTGTTCTCTAGGAAGATGCCGCCCGCAGTCCCGTGGCCGGGCAGGCCCCTGCAGTGCTGTAGCACAGTCTAGGGGGACGGTTTGGGGTCACACACATACCGGCATCGCGGCTGCCTGGCTGAGTCCTGGCACTGGGAGCTCTTGGGCCGATCTGGGCAAAGCTGGGGTGCTGGCCTCTGCCCTCAGCTTGCTTGGAGTGGCTGCAAGAAAACATGGCACCTTGCAGACGTGCACACACTTAACAGCTCTCTTATCAAAAGAGGGAGAGAGAACTTCCCTGGTGGTCCAGTGGTTAAGAATCCTGCCAAGGCAAGGGACACAAGTTCCATCCCTGGTGTGGGACGATTCCACAGGCTGCGGGGCAATGATACCCGTGCACCACAACCACTGGGCCCACGGCTGAAGCCCGCGAGCCCTAGAGCCCGTGCTCTGCAACAAGAGAAGCCTCCACAATGAGCAGCCCGCGCACCGCAACCGGAGAGGACTCCCCGCTGGCTGCAACTAGAGAAAGCCTGCACACAGCAGTGAAGACCCAGCACAGCCATAAATAAATAAATAGATAAAAATTTTAAAACGAGGGGGAGGGTGACCACGGTGTGCATGAAACATGGACCTGCTTGGAATCTGATGAAGGAAGCCTAGCAGCAGTGGGGGTGGTTCCGAGAGGCCCGGAAGTTCTGCCAGCCTCCAGCCTCGCCTGGGGAACCGGGGGATGACAGCGGAGCACCCACAAGTTTTAGGTGCGCCGTGTGGTTCAGCCGCCTGCCTGATCACACGGCTCCCCAGGTCTGCAGGACACCTGCTGTATGTCGGCCTCGTGGGGCCACAGAGGAACCAGGGCATGCAGCAGGCTGGGGTGGGGCGGGGGGGAGGAAGCTGGAGGGAAAGAAAGCAAGGAGTGGGGACCAGATGGCAACTTCAGCTTCATGCCACGGACTGCCCTGCTTCTCCTTGAATGTGGGGTCCCTCTGGGACTCTGTGTATACTCCCAACCGCCCTGCCCTCTGCAGAGTCTCACTTACAGGTGGGCTCTGACATGGCTGTGCGCGAGGATTTGTGGGAACTTCGTGAGGAGGCCGATGGTGAATGACTGGTGTTAAGGCCTGAGGTGCCCAGGTCAAGTGCATTAAAGTGCTGCTGAGGTTCCAGGCTGGAGCCCTTGTCCTGAAACACACACACACACACCCAGAGTCCGTGTTTCAGCATCAAGACCATGGCAATGAGCTATGTTATTTTAGTTGTCCTCTAAATACATAGGAAAGCTTGAAGGATGCTGAGAAAAATACTCTAGCTGCTTGGAGAGAATTCCAAACTCATTCAGGAGGACTACTTATACAAATATATAATCTAGCATCTTTGAGGGCCTAGTAGCTCCCCTGGTGGCTCAGATGGTAAAGAATCCGTCTGCAATGTGGAAGGCCTGGGTTCAAACCCTGGGTTGGGAAGATCCCCTGGAAGAGGGCATGGCAACCCCCTCCAGTATTCTTGCCTGGAGAATCCCATGGACGGAGGAGCCTGGTGGGCTACAGTCCATGGGGTTGCAAAGAGTAGGAGATGACTGAGCAACTGAGTTTCAGGTTTTTTTCAGCCTGTAAGCAGTGTTTATTACACTTTCTTGCCTTCTATTTTGATATTTTAGATTTTCATAGTTAACCTGGCATTTTGTTTTTCCTTAAAATTGTCACCTCATGCCCAGAATCTCGGAGCAGGCAATGGCAACCCACTCCAGTACTCTTGCCTGGAAAATCCCATGGACGGAGGAGCCTTGTAGGCTGCAGTCCACGGGGTCGCTAAGAGTCGGGCATGACTGAGCGACTTCACTTTCACTTTTCACTTTTATACATTGGAGAAGGAAATGGCAACCCACTCCAGTGTTCTTGCCTGGAGAATTCCAGGGACGGGGGAGCCTGGTGGGCTGCCGTCTATGGGGTCACACAAAGTCAGACGCGACTGAAGTGACTTAGCAGCAGCAGCAGCAGCCCAGAATCTTGGCTTTCTCTGAAGGCGGGTGGAGAGACAGATTCTAGAAATAAGGTTGCTGGTGCGACTGGGTTATTCATACTCCAATGAGGGACTTCCCTGGACATCCAGTTAGGACTTCACCCTCCAATGCAATGCAGGGGCGCAGGTTCAATCCCTGCTCACACGCCTCGCGAGCTAGAATACCACATGCCTCCCAGTCAAAAACCAAACATAAAACCGAAACAATACTGTAACAAATTTATTAAAGACTTCAAAAATGGTCCACATTAAAAAAAAAAATCTAAAAAAAGAAAAATATGCTGGGACTTCCCTGGTGGTCCAGTGGTTGAGAATGCAGGGGACGTGGGTTCCATCCCTGGTTGGGGAATTAAGATCCCACATACTTTGGGGCAACTAAGCCTGTGCACCCCAATTAGAGAGAGAAGCCTGAGCTCTGCAACTAGAGAAGCCTGCAATAAAGATCCCACAACGAAGGTACTACAATCAAGACCTGATGCAGCCAAAGAAACAAATATCTAAAAAATAAAAAAATAAATACTCCAATCAGACAGATGCCTTTGGACCATTCCGGACACCATCTCCCCACTGGTCTTCCTCTGCAGTCTCAAGGCACCCGAGTGCAGAACAGGCCGAGGGGCAAAGGTCTCCAATTCTTGACCCCGGGATCCTAACTGTCGCTGGGCCCCCAGGGGGCCTCTGCCTCAAGAGCATGGCATGAAGAGAAAGCAGCTGTGACTTTCTAGCCCTGAGGAACCACCTTGCCATCCTGCATTGGCTCAGGTGTCACGCGTGCATGCGTGCTAAGTCGCTTCAGTTATGTTCGACTCTTTGCGACCCCGTGGACTGTAGCCCGCCAAGCGCCTCTGTCTGTGGGATTTTCCAGGCAAGAGTACTGGAGAGGATTGCCCTGCCCTCCTCCAGGGGGTCTTCCCGACCCAGGGGTCGAACCCACATCTCTGTGCTGGCAGGTGGGTTCTTTATCACAAGTGCCACCTGGCTCATCAGCCTAAGAAGATGACTCTAGTGATTTGTACTCTCCTGAGCTGGGCTCCTTCCTATTCTCAGAAGGATGGTGAGATTCCTGGGCTGCTTGGACAGGCCGGTGTCCCTGGCCTCAGGTCTTAAATCCCTGTGTCTGAGTCTATATGACAGTCTTGTGCTTTGAGTTGGGCCTCCAGTGAGGGTGGAGGCCCTTAGTGTGCCCAAACAGGCCTGAAATGATTGCTACCAGCCACAAAGGCCTTTGTGCAAAACGGAATCGCAGGGTGTGTCTGGGTTTGCTGGGTTCAGTGTCTGTTTTCAGACCCCACTGCTTGGTCACAGCGTGCGTGCGAGCTAAGTCGCTTCAGCTGTGTCTGACTCTTTGTGACCCAATAGACTGTAGCCCACCAGACTCCTCTGTCCATGGGATTCTCCAGGCAAGAAGTTGTTGTTCAGTCGCCCAGTCGTGTCCGACTCTTTGCAACCCCATGGACTGCACACGCCAGGCTTCCCTGACCCTCACCATCTCCTGGGGTTTTCCCAGGTTCATGTCCATTGCATCAATGATGCCATCCCCATTGCATCCTCTGACACCTTCTTCTCCTTCTGCCCTCAATCTTCCCTAGCATCAGGGTCTTTCCCAATGAGTCAGTTCTTTGCATCAGGTGACCAAAATACTGGAGTTTCAGCTTCAGCATCAGGCCTTCCAATGCTTATTCAGGGTTGATTTCCTTTAAGATTGACTGATTGGATCTCTTTGCTGTCAAAGGGACTCTCAAGAGTCTTCTCTAGTGCCATAGTTCAAAGGCATCAATTCTTTGGTGCTCTGCCTTCTTTACAGTCCAGCTCTCACAACCTATGTAACCACTGGGTCTTACGTGACCAGGAAAGAAGAGTGCTTTTCCCCAAATCCCACCTTTTAGAGTGGGGTCCAGGAGAATTCTGTGTGCCTGGTCGGCAGACAAGTAAGTGCAGGAAGTGAGGGGAAGAGCTGAGAAATTTTTCTAGCCATCTGCCGTACATCACACCCAAGCAGGGGAATCTGCATTTTATAGAGCATCCATCAGTGAGAGATTTGAAATTAAAAATCCAAATGGTCCATTACTGCTGAGAGTTTGAAAAGCATGGTCCTGGAGCTGTGACTTTAAAAGGGACTTCTGAATCTGACAGCCTGAGACTGTATTTGTGTTTGTTGTTCAGTTGCTCAGTCATGTCCAACTCTTTGCGACCCTGCAGACAGCAGCACGCCAGGCTTCCCTGTCCTTCACCATCTCCTGGAGTTTGCTCCAACTCATGTCCATTGAGTTGATGATGCCATCCAACCATCTCATCCACTGCTGACTCCTTCTCCTCCTGCCTTCAATCCTCCCCAGCATCAGGGTCTTTTCCAATGAATCAGCTCTTCGCAGCAGGTGGCCGAAGTATTGGAGCTTCAGCATCAGTCCTTCCAATGAATATTCAGGGTTCATTTCCTTTAGGAGTGACTGGTTTGATTTTCTTGCTGTCCAAGGGACTCTCAAGAGTCCTCTGTGTGTTTACACACAAGTGCATGTTGATGAGAAGTCTCATTGGGCTTTAATATTCCCCAACGAAAGGAAACCTTAATAATGAATTTCCGACTGGATGACACAGTGTGCCTGATCTTCAGCTGTGTTGAACACCTGCCTATGAAGAACTTAATCCCAGCCTTGGACATGACATATGATGCATTCCTGTAACAGAGCTGGGTGATAAACACGTCCATGAACAATGACAGAGGTGTCGTACCACAGTGCTGGTGAGGAATCACCGCACAATGCAGCATCACTTTGCCTGTCAGTGGGAGAGGCTCAGCAAAGATGCAAATGCATTCTGGTCTCTAAAGGGGATCTCCTCCTCTTCCTAACTCAGTTCTTAATGGACCAGAGATGCATCTGTGGTCCACTGACTGCAGTAAAGTGAGTATCACAATAAAGCAAATCACATTAATTTTGTTTGTTTGTTTCCCAGCGCATAGAAAAGATAAACTGACCATTGCTGTTGTGTCAATTTCTGGCCAGAGACTCCAGATTCTAGGTCATGGGCAGGCTGGAACTTGAACTGTGTTTCATCAATTCTAAGATGAACTTCCCTCCCACATTTTGACATAAAATGAAATTGGGATACGTCCTTCAACTCACAATAAGAAATCCTGACTTCACAGACTGACAGCTTTCTCTCTTTCTTAGTGAAGATAGAGATAGATCTTACAATTGATGGCTTCTTAGCTTTGATGAAATACAACATTCCTTTTCTTGCTTTCTCTCTTTTTCCTCCCAACATGTGTGTCTGTTTGAAGAATGACCTTTGAGGAACAGGGTTCTGGGCTGCTTGTGAGTTTCTGTTGAGTTGTCAGAGATGAGGGCTGCCTGGCCAGAGCGTGCCAGGGACTCAGGCTGGAGAGGAAAGAGCTCTGGGCTTTGTGACGAGAAACACCTCCCCTTGCCTCTCAGGGCTCCCTGATGCCAGGCTGGCTCCAACACGGGGGTCAGCTCAGACCCCCAGACACAGAAGCGGCAAGTACACCCCACTAGCGATACCATAGAGGGTGTGAGGGGCAATGAGCTTATGGGGTGCTCTTTTTGAGGGAAGGGTACAGCACTTAGGCTAAGGGGAGGACAGGATGCACAGACTGTGCCCCACCTCGATGGGATGATGCAATAACCCCCGCTTTTCATCTGTGGGAGATACAGAGTGGACTTACCTACAGGCAGACATTGTTTTATTGTGTTTCCCTTTATCACACTTCTTGGAGAGTGCGATTTTTTACAAACTGAAGGTTTATGGTAATCCTGTCTTGTTAGATGCTGCTTACCGTTTTTTAGCAATAAAGTTTTTTAAGGTATGCCATTAAAAAAAAAAAAACAATTGGGTTGCCCTGGTGGCTCAGACAGTAAAGAACCTGCCTGCAATGCGAGAGACCTGGGTTCGATCCCTGGGTTGGGAAGATGCCCTGGAGGAGGGCATGGCAACCCACTCCAGTATTGTTGCCTGGAGAATCCCATGGACAGAGGAGCCTGGTGGGCTGCAGTCCATGGGGTCACAGAGTCAGACATGACTGAGGGACTAACACGTCCACTTGCACACTTAACAGACTACAGAATAGGGTCCACACATCGTTTATGTGCACAAGGAAACCAAAAAAGTAATGGGATTTGCTTTGTGGTGATGTTCACTTTACTGTGGTGGTCTGGAAGCTGCAGGATCTCCGAGGCTTGCCTGCACAGTCATTCTTCTGAGGCGGGAAGCTCACCAAACCCTGATTTGAGTCAGCAGGCTGCTTCCTTGCACAGCTCTGTGAGTTCCCAGCCTCCGCGACCGCAGAGACGTTATCTGCGTCCACGTACGCTCGGCCTCACCTGAAGAACAGTGACCGTGCCCGCCTCGCAGGAGCCGCATGAGGGGCAAGTAAGCAGACACCCCCAAATTACACTGAACAGTACTGGGAACATAGCAAGAGCTCAAGAAACATGACCTGCCCCTTCAGCATTACCATTCTTATGATGACAGCTCACGAAAGATTCTACTCAGTCGAACTTTGCCTTCCTCCTCTGCTGGGGATCAGATTACCTTCAGTGCCGAAGGGTGGACGGTCTCCAGCAGCGGGTCCTCCAGCGCCAATTCCTGCCTCCTCTCCACCCGGACCTCGGCGTAACTGCTCAGGAAATCAAGAGACCACAGCTGGAGCGGGGACGTCCCGGGACGACACCAGCAAAGGGGGCTGTGTGACACCCTCTCCCCGGGCAGCCACTAGCAAGCTTGGCCCAGTTACTTGTTTGGGGATGGGGTTTCCTTCTGGGCCTACACTCCACAGGAGTCACTTCTACTGTGACATTCAAAGTGACTTCCTTTCTGGGACTTCCCTGGTGATCCAGGGGCTGGGACTCTGCGCTTCCACTTCAGGGGGCCTGGGTTTGATCCCTGGTCAGGGAACTTCCCTGGTGGCTCAGAGGGTAAAGCGTCTGCCTACAATGCGGGAGACCCGGGTTCAATCCCTGGGGTGAGAGGATCTCCTGGAGAAGGAAATGGCAACCCACTCCAGTATTCTTGCCTGGAAAATCCCATGGACAGATAAGCCTGGTAGGCTACAGTCCATGGGGTTGCAAAGAGCCAGACATGACTAAGTGACTTCACTTCAGGGAACTAAGGAGCTTCCCTGGCGGCTCAGATGGTAGAGAATCTGCCTGCAATGTGGGAGACGTGAGTTTGATCCTTGGGTTCGGAAGATCCCCTGGAGAAGGGAATGGACCCCCCACAAGCTGTGGGGCACGGCCAAAGGAAAAAAAAATCATAAACATTTTTTTTAAACACATAAAAAAGAACATTTTCCTTACCAGGATGTTGTTGTTGCCTACACTTTTTGTTGTTGTTGTTGTTCCTTTCTCTTTTTACTGATCTTGACCCATCCCACCCAGAAACCCCCTCACACAATTATCTTTAGAAACCTATTTTCTTTAATAGGATGAGCCTCAGCCTTCAAAAAATTAGAAGACTTTCTGGAGACCTACTCAGTTTGGACTATGCACTGGAGGAAGTGATACATCAACTTTTTTTTTTAGTAATTACAGACTATGATTACAGACTATGAAACTTCCAGAAGTTTCCTTTCGACCAAACCTAGAACTAGCCAGACCCAGACAGCCAATTAGTCTATGGAGCCACTTTTTGAATGGCATGGGGAAATCAATTCAGAGTGGTGGCGGCCGAGTGACCCAGCTGTGGCTTTTGTCTCGACTATAGAGATGGGGGGGATACGGGGCCCAGGGGAGAGGTGGTGGCTCCTGGGTCTCTGGGACACCTGTGACCTCATTTCTCTCTTGGTTGCTCCCTACCTTCTCTGAGAATCTCATTCTGGGATCTGAGAAGATGGACTAGAAATCAGACTCTGAGAAGCAAGGTGCTGACGATGTTCAGTCTTACCTGGGGACAAAAGGACCCCCTGGCAAAGGTCCAGGCAGTGGGGGGAGGTGTGCGGGGGGTGCTGGGCATGGAATCAGAAAACACTGGCTGCTGATGTGCCCAGGGGTGGGCTGGGAAGTCATGGTCAGGTCCCTGGGGGTGGGCATGTATGTGATGATCAGGGTCACTGGCCAAGAAATATCTGCATTTCTTATCCTTCCTCTTTCCTCACTTACTAAAGAGGAGGGATTTACTTGTGTGTGAGTGTGTGTGTGTATCGGGTTGGCCAAAAAGCTTGTTCAGGTTTTCGAGAGATCTTATGGAAAAAACAAAATGAACGTTTTGCCCAATCCAAATGATAAGCATGTGTGTATGGACAGTATCAATCCATCCATCTGTTATCTATCTATCAATCAACCAATCATCTATTGTCTATCAATCAGCTATCTATCCATCTATCATCTATTGACCTATTTACCTAACTACCCATTATCTGCTGACAATCATTCATTTCTTATGTACATGTACATAACAATAGGTATGTATATGTACCTCTCGATCTTTCATATCTCTGTTATCTATCATCTGTCTGTTCTGTATTGATACATATATATAATGTGATCCTTCTAACCTTTCTTTCGTTGCTCTCTTCAAAAGCTCTCCTCTAGACCAGCTCAAAACTAATATATGTTCTTAAAATTTTTGTACTTGGGGAAGAAAACCCAAACGGCATTTCTCCTTTACCTTTGGAAACTGTGACACAGGCAGTGTCTAGGAAACACTGGATCTGCTTCCTCCCTTGGAAGCCCTGCCACGCACATGGGGCTGGGGTAGGTAACCTCTGCCTGAGGTCAGGGAACCACCAAGAATGCTCTATCAGCAGCCTGGCTCTTGTACCACCCTGCCTCGGTTGCCACCGGTAGTTTCTGAAGCATTCAAAAAAGGGGGGGGGGCGGCAAGGGGGAGGGATTATGTCTCTGAGTTATTCAGAGGCAAAATTTTAATTTTCTTTTCCTACCAGTGACAAGGGAAGGCTGGGGGCTGGATGGAGATGAGGGAAAATATGTAAGTAGGTCACTGAAGCAGTAATTTACGGAGGAGCATCCTGGCTGCCTGGAAGAGCTCAGTGAGGCTGTCAGAGGGGCCTGGCGGGGCCCTAGGAAGCCAAGACTGGGTGTGGGCTAGGAAGGAGCTGGCTTCTGGGGATTAGTCTGCTCACTGAGAGCAGAGTCCTGCTGCAGAACTCAGGCCTGGGGCTCACTCCTCAGAACTGGGGACCCCTGAGGATGCTGGGGCTCTGAGACACCTGCTGGGGACCCCTGAGGATGCCCACCCTCCCAGCCCCTGGCCCGCACCTGACCACCGAGTGTGTGCACACGATGAACTCGGGCTTGGAGTTCCACTGGTGGTAGGTGATGTAGTAGTGGGTCTGGAGCCAAATCCACTGCTGGCCTTTGGTCAGAAACCTGTAGCAGCAAGACTTCCCTTTGCCAAACTGCATCACTGTGATGGAAGATGGAGTCGGGTATAACCAGCGTCAAGACAAAAGGACCCTTCCCTCCCACAGTCACTTTTAACAACACCAGCTTTCAAAATGACAGTGCTGCACACAGTCATTTCCCCAGTAGTGACGGCTCTTAAGTGACCATCAAGCACCATGTGTAAAGCAGATAGCTGGTGGGAAGTTGCTACATAACACGGGGAGCCCAGCTCGGTGCCCTGTGATGACCAAGGGGGTGGGATGGGGGTGGGGAGGGAGGCTGGAGAGGGAGGGGACATGTATATAATTATGAGTTGCAGAACAGCAGAAATCAACACAACATTGCAAAGCAATCTCCCTCCAGTTGAGAAAGAAATTTAAAAAAAGATCACAGGAAAAGGTCATGAATTCTGAAACAATGAGGGATGATCCTCCTGCTTCCCCAAATGCTCAAAAGCTTAAGAGGGCCTTAAATCCGGGCAGATTCTTCAACTGGGAGTTTAATTAAAAAGGAGCCCTGGTTTTCGCTGCGTCAGGGCTTTGGTAGCGACTGCCTCCCTATGTGGGCGTGAGCGTTGCCAGCCCCTCCCCTGGGAACCGTTGTAGTCGGCCAGCCCCACTCCTTGGTGACCACGTGTGACCGAAAGGCCATGATCGAAAATGCTGGTATGTCGGAGGAGATGCAACAGGACTCGGTGGAGTGTGCTACTCAGGCATTGGAGGAATATAGAGGACACTGCGGCCCATGTCAAGAAGGATTTTGACAGAAGTACAACCCCACCTGGCCCTGCACCATGGGGAGGAACTTCGGTAGTGATGTGACACATGAAACCAAACACTTCATCTACTCCTACCTGGGCCAAGTGGCCATTCTCCTGTTCAAATCTGGTTAAAAGCATGGACTGTGCCACACAGCCAGTGATCCATCCAAAAACAAGGACTGCAGCCTAAATTCCAAATACCAGAGACTGCGGTCTTTAGCCTTGCCTTGGGGAACACCTCCATCTTTGAACATTTATTGTGTTTTGTACAGGGCATTCTCTGTACTAGTTTGTGGTTGTTAAGCAATTAGCAAAACATCTTACATTTGTATTTATTTTCTATTCCATACCTCTCTGCCCCATGTTTTTTCTCTTCAAAATCCATTCCTTTAAAGAAATAAATCTGTTGGAGAAGTGTGCATTAAAAAAAAAAAAAAAAGCCCTGGTTTTCCTGGGGCTCACCATCCTGCTGCAGCTGGAACTGGCTTTGCAGTTGTGGGAGAGACCATCCAGACGCTGGGAGAACTGGACCAAAAACAGAACTGACAGCCAGCAGTCTACGGACGGATGCTCTGGCTGCCAGTCAGCTGAGCATCCTTGGTCTACACAGTTCTAAACAGAGGATCAGTCACAGGGGCTTCCACCTCAGACCACCACACAGGGCTCCTATGGTTAAGTTGTGGCTTCCCTGGAGGTACCCGGTACACACAGATGCTGCTGGGTTAGGCCTAGGCAGGGCAGAAAGCTGGGCCACGCGTCCAAGGAAGAGGAGCAGCTGGGGTGCACTGTCTCAGTACCTGGAATTCAGCTCTTTACATGCTAGTGGTCAAGAGAAAGCCTAACCAGGAGACCAAAGCAACAAAAGGAGGCACTGAATCTGCCAATAAAATAGTATTTGTGGGACTTCCCTGGTGGTCCAGTGGTTAAGAATCTACCTGCCAATGCAGGGGACACAGGTTTGATCCCTGGTCTGGGAAGATTCCACATGCCATGGGGCAATTAAGCTCCACGAGCCGCAACTACTGAAGCCTGTGCTGCAACTACCAAAGTCCATGTGCCCAAGAGCCCGTGCTCTGCAACAAGAGAAGCCACCGAAATGAGAAGTCTGAGTGCCACAACTAGAGAGTAGCCCCCACTTGCCACAACTCAAGAAAGCTGCAAAATAAATAAATAAATAAAGTAATAGTTATCAGACTACTTAAAAAGCAAAAAAAAGATCAAATAGTTTGCATAGCTGAGGGGAGCTGGGAAGGGGCTGGGGGAGGAAGCACACGGATCAAAGTCAATTCCAGGGGAATCCAGACAAGGACCTCCAACAAGGACCACAACTTCATCATCTCAGAGAAGTTCAAATTCTTGGCCTCAGAAGAAACCAAGTAATAAGTCGACTTGCAGAGCCTACGGGTCCCACTGTCAGGGCTGCAGGGAGAGGATGGAGGTCCTTGGGAGGGGAGCTGGGTGGTTGGCAGGGGTACTCACGGTGCTGGTGGCACCTGGCTAGGAGCTCCAGGTCGTCCACGTGGTAGTAGTCATAGCCCGAGGTTCCCAGGACTTCAAAAGGCAGGTATCCTATGATAGGAGGGGCTCTGCAAGGACAGTTGGGGGGGGGGGTCTTCACCAGCCCTGCGGGCTTCCTGTAGTGGCCAACAGGCGGGGGCAGTTTACATGTTTCATGATCAACCCAGGGGCCTCATTTCTCAAGAGTAAGTGCAGAAAAAAAGCATTTGGCAATGGTCAAAACCAGAGAGGCGGTGTTTTCCAAAGTGCTCACATTTTTCGGCATTAGACACTTGGTTCCTGCGACCTAAACTGGCCCCAGTGATCATAAATGTTATTGCTGCTGAATAATTAAAAACAGCTATGCATGGAGTCAGCCCAATTCTAAAGTGTCATAAAAAAAAAATCAAAGGGCAGGAAGGGGAGATTGTTAGTTCTTCAACTGTGAAAAAATGTAACACAAGAAAGAAAGAAGATTGGTCTAAAGGGACGAAGGGTGTTGAAGGAAATAAAATGAGAGCTTCCTTCACATCTTGCCTTCCCTAATGGGAGCTGGCGACGGTCCCAAGTGGGGTGGGGGTGGGGCAGGTGGGGGTGTCCCAGAGATGTCTCCAACCGGGGTGTGTGGCTCTCCTGAGATGCTCCGACCCAAACCCAGGACATATCCCCAGATGGGACAAGTGCAGTGGAGGGAGACCCCAGCCCTCTGGCCAGCAAGCACTTTCCCCACCACAAGAGAGAACCAGGTCTGAATTCTGTCCCGCGGGGAGAGCCTGGCTCCTGGAAACAAGCGCTTGAAAAAGCACCCAACCCAAATGTGTTTTTCTTTTCACAAACCTGTGATCCAGAAATAAAAATTTCCATTCCAAGCTATGCCTTGAAGTGAATTCCTCTAAAGGTTCGTCAACGATGCACATTTCCTGTATTGAAAGGGAGGGAAAATATGACTCGGGGTGCCAGATTCTCACCCCCCGACCCCCGGTTGTGTCAAGAACACACAGTCGGCAACAGAAGTTAAAAGCACTTAGAGCAAGTTTCCAAGTTGTGTTGGACCAAAACTCCTCATCAGCAGCTAATTTCAGTATTAGCGGCTGCTAAATTTATTTCACGAGCTGGGGAAAAAGTTCTGAGAGCCAAAATGTCATACCCCTCCCTTCCTATCATCTAGACATGTGGTAAACACATGAAAAATGGCTTTTCATCTAAATTTGAATGAGTAACTTAACATTCACCCCATCCAAGGGAAAGAAATTACAGACAGGAGTCCAGAGCTCTGTCTGATAGGTTTTACCTCTGCTGTGCTGATTGGTGTCAACATAGATGTGAAGAGTAGGAAAGTTTATAGAGTTCTGGAAGACCCATCTCTGCCCCAGTGATTCACTGCCTTCAAACAAAATCCCCTCGAGGAGGGCATGGCTACCCACTCCAGTATTCTTGCCTGGAGAATCCCATGGACAAAGGAGCCTGGCGGGCTGCAGTCCATGGAGTCTGCAAGAGGGGCTTTCCGGGTAAAGACTGTGCCTGGAATGCTGGAGACCCCGGGTTTGATCTCTGGGTCAGGAAGATCCCCTGGAGAAGGGAAAGGCTGCCCACCCTGGTATTTTTAGGAAACTGAAGCTTGGGGAAAGAGTCTGTGGGGCTGTTGCTGTACAGAAATCAGATACTGAACATTCTCAGAGTCGGTGATGAGCTCATTGAAATCATCTTCTTTCCCAGGAAGACAAGGAATTAGCTGCCACACAAGGTGACTCGGGGGTACTTGTTCTGCAAGGTAAGTTCTCTCTGGGTACTTGCCTTTAGGAACTGTGGTGTGGCCAGGCGAACGGTGGCGATGAAGCAGACCTCCTTCCCCAAGGGGACTCGGCAGGGCCTTGAAAGGGCGCCATCGAAGCCGTTACAAGGGGGGCTGAGCACTGCTGGGGGGAGGAGACACAGGTCAGCCCGCGCTGGTGCGGGGCCAGCCCGCCGGCACCACCGAGCGGCCTCGGGTCCCTCAGCTGTTTCATTCTCACAGCCACTTGGGGATGTCAAGTGTTACTTTCACCCCCACTGTGTGGGAGCCCGAGGCTCAGACCGGGAAGCAATGGGCACAAGCCAGACAGAGCTGGAATTCAAGTCAGCGACGCACAACCAGGGCTTCCTGGGTGGCTCAGTGGTAACGAATCCACCTGCCAATGCAGGAGATGTGGGTTCTATCCCTGGGTCAGGAAGATCCCCTGGAGGAGGAAATGGCAACCCACTCCAGTACTCTTGCCTGGAGAATCCCACGGACAGAGGAGCCTGGCGGGGGCTACCATCCATGGGGTCGCAGAGTCAGACACGATGTAGTGACTAAACAACAACACACAAGTCCCACTGCCACAAGTCTTGTAGCCACGGAGGTTACTGCGCTGGAAAAAATCCTCTGCCAGATGAGCAGATGGCCCCATGATGTAGGGGGGTCTGGACGTGCACATCAGCCTGTGTCTTAAGGGTGAGCTGCATCATCAGACTGTGTTCTGATACTGATGCCCTCAGGGGAAGTATGGTGGCTCAGATGGTAAAGAATCTGCCTGCAATGCAGGACACCCAGGTTCGATTCCTGGGTTGAGAAGATCCCCTGGAGAAGGGAACAGCTACCCACTCCAGTACTCCTCCCTGGAGAATCCCATGGACAGAGGAGCCTGGTTGAGCGTGAGCGATAGTCCATAGAGTCACAAACAGCTGGACATGACTAAGTAACTAATACTGCTACTGCTACAGGGGAACCAGTGGGTCTTGACCCTGGATTGGCCTACCTGGGATTCAGGAGATTGTGCCCTGAACTGCCTCAGAGCCCAGGCTGATGCAGGACTTGACTCAGGAGATAGCTCGGGATTCACAGTGACCGCCCCCCAGTTACACAGAATCCACAAGAGAATTCACTGCCCAGGTGACAAAACCCATTCACTGTGTCTTATGTGTTCTCACAGGTGGGGAAGGCTGGCTTTCCTTATCCTATAAATGAGGAACCCGAGGTCTAGGAGGCGTGTGTATAATAACTGAGCTCACTCAGAGCTGAAATGGTGCAGCAGGGCCTCCACCCAGGTCTTAGGACTCCAAGTCCTGGCTCTAACAGGGAGGAGAGGGGGCTGTTCTGGGCTCCTGCCCACCATGATGCTGAGACCAGGCCCCCAGAGACCTGGGGGAGGTACCACTTGGCATCAATAGCCGTTTCCCTAGGAGCGGTACACCTGTCTTCAGGGTGACTGTGAAAAACGGCTTTACCTTCCAGAGAAAACGTCTTGCTATTTTCAGTGGAGTTTGCTGGGTGGAAAAAAGTTAAATAGGAGAAATGTCAACCTATCAGGTACACGGAATTCTCTCCATATTCCCCAGAACCAGATATGTGATTGCCCCCAGCCCAGATCAGCTACTTCAGAAACTTGGGGTGAAGCCAGGGCAGCAACATTTTATAAAGTCTCCCCAGAGAATTCCCTGGTGGCCCAGTGGTTAGGATCCTACACTTTCAATGCAGGGGTCGTGGATTTGATCAGGAACTAAGATCCCACATGCCATGCGGCCAAAAATTTTTTAAAAATAAAATAAAGTTGGGTCTTAAAAAGTCAGTACAAAAATAAATTTTTTTCTTTATTTTCTTAAAGTCTTTATTAAATTTGTTACAATATTGCTTCTGTTTTATGTTTTGATTTTTTTTTTTTGTCAAGAGGCACGCAGGATCTTAGTTCCCCAAGCAGGGATCAAACCTGCAGCCCTGCATTGGAAGGTCAAATCTTAATCATGGACAGGAAAAGTCCCTAAAATGTTTCTTTAAAAAAACAAGAAAACCTCCCCCAGTTTACTAACATGCAGCTAGGGTTGAGGATTACTATTCTAGATAATCTACATTACCTCTTTCTTTTTGAAATGTAGTTGATTATATCCTGCATATTTCTGAGCTTGTAAGTTAACATATAGTTATGTTTTCCAATTTGAACATAAAAAGCTTCAGAAAACTGTTTTCTAAAATGAAATCTGTAAGACTCTCTTTGGCTTTCCAGTAATTTTTTGTTTTCCATGTTTAAAGGTTTCTAAGTGAATCCATCTATACTAGGTCGTCTATCTATAGTGGTCGGCTACCCACCAACAGGAACACACTCATTTTACCAAACATAGTCTCTGAATGCCTTCACATAAATACTAATAAATGTTTCCAAACATGAAATATAAAGTGAGGAAAACAAAACAGAGTGGGCCTGAGAGAATTTACATCTGTCGGTCTCTGGCTTAGATCATTGCAGATTAATTTGTTGGGTAGGCCAAGGAAGTCACCAGGGGAAAGGAAAACAAACCCACACAAGGGAAGGGTCTGCAGATGTGAACATCTGCATCATTAAAAAAAAGACATTTAAAAACTTCCCAGATGTGAAAGATCCTCTCTGCCTGAATCTAGAGACATTGCCTGCCTGATAAGAACCTAATAAAATCCTCTCTACTCTTTCAGAATAGCAAGACCTTCCAAACCAACATCCGAGGACATCCCAAGAATTTAAGAGAAAATCTCTTGAATCTGTCTCTATACCATGACCTGGTCTTCCCAGTGGTGCAGTGATAAGGAATCTGCCTGTCTGGGCCAGGAGACATGGTTTGATCCCTGGGTTGGGAAGATCCCCTGGAGTAGGAAATGGCAACCCACTCCAGTATTCTTGCCTGGAAAATTCCATGGACAGAGGAGCCTGGCAGGCTGCAGTTCATGGGGTTGCAGAGTCAGACAGAAGCATAAAAGCACACAAACCACGAACTAGTTTGAGTGATCTTTTCGATTGCTAAATTCATGTCAGTAAGCACCTCCCAGGTGATTTACTGTGAGGAGGATGGGGTAGTGAACACCAGCCCCCGATAACTCCTTCAAGGGGTAGAGCCTCGGATCGTGGAAATGTGGATGTTTTGCAGACCTTGCCGTTGGCCTGACTGCCTCCCAAGGTGGCTTTTATCAGTCCTTTTATCACTTTGAAGGCTTTAAAGAAGAAAATGCACCCCAGGAGGGACATCTCATGATTGCTCAGAGTCTGCACTTGATAAGTTGGATATTTTACAGAGGGGCTTGAAACTGAACAAACTCCCTTTCTAAACAAGCTTCCACCCCCAGAAGCCTTAAGCAGATGAAGTCTTGAGCAAAGGTGAAAAATGAAGACTGAAAGTTATAACAGAGGGCAAGGAGAAAACCTTGGGGGAAGCCAGGGGGAAGAAGACACTGTCAACATTTTGTCTGTTGCCTCTGAAATGCCTTGTACTCCCACCATGAGCTTTCTCGCATATCCTAGAGTCAACAAGAGCAGGCTGTGCCCAGGGAGCTCTGAGTAATAGGGAACACTTAAAGTAACTTCTCTGGCACTTCCCAAGGTGGTTGAAAAACATTAATTAAGGACTTAATTGTTTCAACTTCAGTCATAGGAAAAAATAGATTTAATTAAAATTGGCTTTGAGAGCCTCTCAGAAGGATTAACCACTCAAGGAAGGTAAAGTCCTGTCTTACCAGAATTCTGATCCTTTCCAGACTCCTTTCCCTGCCACCAACAGACACACAGCACTAACCGATGACAGATATGAAAGTGATGAATTCCTGCTCCGTATCCTGGAGTTACTCAAAAGTGGTCTGAGTACAATCCTGTGAATCATTACAGGGTGGCCTCATTTTCATTGTTTTGTTTGAGATGTATTATTCACAAAAATATTGTATCCCATTTATATCCTGTGTAATAATAAAACCCAGTACACTGTCAAAGATAAGTCATTTTGTGGTTATTTGCCTTTTAAAATTATCCAGTATTTCTTTGCATCCCATTAACACAAATAATCAAAGAATGATTTGTTTTCATCTGTAACAAACTGATTTATTGTGTGCAGGGACTGTAATATACTAGTAGTAGTAGTTAGTTGCTCAGTTGTGTCTGACTCTTTGTGATCCCACGGACTATAGCCCCCCAGGCTGCTCTGTCCATGGAATTTTCCAGGCAAGAATACTGGAATGGATTGCCATTCCCTTCGCCAGAGGATCTTCCTGACCCAGGGATCAAACCCAGGTCTCCTGCATAATATACTAGAGTCATATTTAATTGTGAACTCTGCCTCCTCATACAACACATTAGGAAATAGTCCCCAAAATCAGTACTGAACTTTGGTGGTGGTGGTTTGGTGGTTTAGTTGCAAAGTCATGTCCAACTCTTTTGACCCCATGGATTGTAACCTGCCATACTCCTCTGTCCGTGGGATTCTTCAGGCAAGAATACTGGAGTGGGTTTCCATTTTCCTTCTCCAGGGGATCTTCCCCATCCAGGAATTGAACCCAGGTCTCCTGCACTGCAGACAGATTATTTACCAACTGAACTAGGAGGGAAGCCTCTCTGAACTTTGCATCAGATGTAAAGGAGGCTCTGGATGCTATAACTAGATTATTTTGAGGGAAACAATTATCCCCAACTGATTTAGTATCAGTATGTTCTATAATTGAGAAAATGTTCACCAAATTATATTTTTTAGTGATTTTCTGTACATTTTACAGGGGACATGTTCTGTGTATGGGGCTTCCTTGCTGGCTTTGTGTAAAAAAATCCATCTGCCAGGCAGGAGATGTGGGTTTGATTCCTGGGTTGGGAAGATCCCCTGGAGGGGGAAATGGCAACCCACTCCAGTATTCTTGCCTGGAGAATGCCATGGACAGAGGAGCCTGGCGGGCTACAGTCCATGGGGTCACAAAGAGTCAGACACAACTGAGCAACTAAACAACAACGTGTTCTGTGTATAGTGAATAAATAACTCTTATAGTATCAGAAAAAAAAAAAGGTGATCTTCATCAAAAACCCAAAGCTGAAGAGCTAGTGGAACTGGGGCAGTGGCGGGGGTTGGGTGGGGCTGGTTCTGTCTCCAGCTCTGAGCAGGAGGCTTGCCCACATGT